CAAACGACTTATTGACGAGATCAAGCAAAACTAACTGCGAGAGAACAACTGGAGAACTAACAATTTGACTAACAATAGACGACTGTTTAACTGCGACAATAGACGGATCGAAACGCACCAATCGCTGATTACGAGTCTTCATAGCCAATAACATCACGGCTTAACTGATAGACGACCAATAACATCACGACATAATTGACCAATCAGATCAATAACCAGAGGATAATACCATCAACTGACGTGATACAACTCACTTTGACTCTGAAGATGACTACCGCACAGGTTGTCGAAACGTCAGTCACTGTCAACAACAACAGTCCTATTCAGGACTACGTTCACCCGGACGATCAAACTCAACCTAGCTTTTATCTGTTAATTTTTTCAGCTAAAAATAAAACAGTCAGCACAATCACATTTAACTTCTTGCGAGATTAAGGGAGATCTCGAACGTTATTTCTGTTGGCGTAGAAAGGAAAAAGTTTTCGAAAAGACGGCAACACGATGTTCTACTCGTTTTATTATTTTGGCTAGGCGCGCTCGAATTTAAAATACTGAAATTTCTAGTTTTCTGTTACCTGTATATTTTCCTCGGTAATTTTCCTCGATTTTCAGTACATGAATCTTTAAAAACAAAAGTAAACAGCCAACGAGCGAGGACACCAGTTTTCCTGGTTTATATTTTACAAAAAGCGAAGGCAAACAACCAGTCTGTTATCTTAACCTACCAGCTTTTATAATATTAAATGCCTACAAAAATTCCTTGAAGAGCGATGCGATATTTTTCGTCTAATATTTCACAGTCGGCGATTGAGGTTTCTTGCGCAGTGAGCCTCAGCTTGCGTACCCAGTTCAGAGACGTCATTCCCGGCTAAACTTTCAGATGAAACCAGTTTTAAGATGGACAGTAGTTTTATTTGCACTCGTTTGTTGGTAAATCAAAAGGCAACTTGTTAGCGGTCAACAACTTGCAGAGGGATTCAACTCCGCGATACACTCACATTAGTTCCGTAAATAAAGCAAATCCTGAGAAGATATGAACAACCATATGAATTTTCTGAATTTCCGTGGCACATGTTAAGGCATATTTTCCTACCATAAGACCATACAACAATAAAAAAGACAGCAAAGTCGATCCGTCTCTCCGCCGACGACGGATCATTCACGAAAACAACCACGCGAGGAATAAGCGCTTTCAACTTCCGTCTTTTCCGGCAGCCAATCAGATCTTGTGGCATTGTTCTAACAGCCAATCAGCTTTACGGCCAAAATCTGGCCGTAACGAGCACAAATGTGAGAGAGTTTGTATCAGGCCCAATTTTAGCGGTAGTCGTTAGAGAGAAAGTATGAGAACCACTAAGATTGGGCCTGATCTCAGGTTAGAACGCTTGCGCTAAGTGGTACGGTGCCCACCTTTTCACATTTGGTTAACTTTGTCGAAGAGCTATATTGGCGAACACGATGTATGGGGAGTTAGTTGGGTCAACACCGGATATTGATCAAGATGCAAAGTCAGTGTCGAAAAGGAAGAAACCGTCCAGCCTGCTCGCCATGGGAGGTACCATTTCCACGCAGTGAAGACTGGAGCACAATGGGCATTTAGAGGCAAAGAAATGTACCTTGGGCTGAGCTTCTTCTCCGACGTCCACGCTCTGAGGCCATATCGGTGGGGTTTGAACTGCTGCCCACATGTATCTACTGTCGAGGAGAAGATGGGGTGGATACTCGTCCAAGAGAATTTTTGTTGGCTACTGTTTATGGCACGTTTACGACACTTAGGAACCTTAGGAAACAAGAACGCTCTAAAAGCGTGAAGTCTCGCTTGCTTCGAGATAGATAAGAAGTGAGGAGGCGATTTAGTGTACACGAAGCAAGATTTCCTTGCTAAAGTTTTTCACTTCCTTCCTTATCGACGGTCGAGTTTTCTTCAAGAGAGGTCAAGGGATCGGAGAGAGAGAGAACGGAAATGTGGCTTTTTCCTCTGGAAAAAGAAGGAAGACTGGCCTGGGCATCCCATTCAGTTGCCGGAATTGTCTGGCGAACACAAAGAGCTTAAGCCGAATGTTGGTCAAGCAAATGTGATCGTCTGTGATGAGAGTTTTGCGGCGAGGTTCTCCCGTTATTCCTCATGGGATAGCCTTAGAAAGGCAATTGCCTGGTTGCTACGTTTGAAGAACTACTTGTCCAGTTATGTTACGAGGTTTCCAGGCATTGTTATTGGAGGGCCTTTGTCTGTCGCTGGAATTGGTGTCACGGAAAGTTGCCTTGTCAGAATTGTTCAAAGGGAAGCGACTCAAGAACGCTCAGATGTCATTTGAATCAATGCATCCCATCATCTTGCCAACGTAACCCCGTAACCAGGTTGTTGGCCCAAACCTATCATCGGATTCAAGGTCATTCTGGTCCCTCTCAAGTGCTAGCTTCAATCAGGCAGAGGGTCTGGGTGATTCGGGGTCTTTCGGTCGTGCGCCGTATCTTGGCAGGCTGCATGAAATATTGGAAGCGGAATGCTCATCCTGGTGAACAGATAATGGCTCCATTACCTGAAGCAAGAGTTTCACAGTCCACCGTTTACCCGAGTAGGGCGTCGACTACTTTGGTCTCCTCTACGTCAAGCAAGGGCGTAATCAAGTCAAACGCTATGACTTTTTGTTCACATGTATAACAATGAGGGTCGTTTACATTGAAGTTGCGCACACCTTGGAAGCAGATTCGTTTATTTGCGCCTATCAACGTTTTACAAGTCGTTGAGGCAAACCTCGGGAGATAAACAGCGACGATGGCACCAATTTTACCGGCGCTGATAGACAGTTGAGAGAAGCTCTGGGGCATTTGGATCAGGCGAAAATCTACAACAGTCTCAGAAGAGACGACGTCCAATGGTCGTTTAATCCGCTGGAGGCCAGTCATCGTGGAGGAATTTGTGAACGTATGATCCAATCTATTGGGAAAATTCTGAGAGCCTTGTTAAGGGAGCAGCTGGTTAGTGCCAAAACCTTTTACATTTGACTCTGTGAAGTAGAGAGGATATTCAATGACACGCCCTCGGTGATCACCCAGGAGACCCAGAGCCGCTAACTCCCAGCAATCTCTTGCTTCTTAGGGTTCACAGTTGCCTTCCTCTGGATGTCTTCACGAACCAAGGCAAGTACAATAAGCGTTGGCGCCAGGAGTAGTGCCTGGCTAATGCATTCTGGAAAAGATGGATGAGGAAAGTATCTTCCTTCGCTTCAGGCAAGGCAGAAGTGGTTCTTCAAACGGCGAAACGTCGCTGTAGGGGATCTGGTCCTTGTAGTCGACGAGAAAACGCCGCGAGGGCGTTGGCCAATGGCTCTTATCGTGGAGGTTTCCCCTGATGGCAATGGGCAGGTACGAAGCGTGATGGTGAAGACGGCCTCATCTGTTTGCAAACGAGACATCAGGAAGTTATGTCTCCTCGAGGGAGTTCAAGAATCAGAAACATGTTAAACTGAAGGGAACTTATAACTTTTCCGAGTGCTAGGAACGTGAGCTGCGTAAATTAAAGCTTATTTAAATGTTGCGTCATTTGTAATTGGCTGGTCGCCAATTCGGGGCTGGTATGTTTCCACTGATTTCGGACCAGCGGTTTCGTCGGCTTAATTTAAGTTTCAGGTTACTTATACAGCTGTTTAGTGTAACGTTCTCGACTGTTATTCGAGAATTGCTTGTATGCTGTTATCGTAGTTTATGTATTGCCGTTCAGTGTTCGGATTTATCTTCACCGTCAGGTGTGTATGTGTGTGTGTGTATGTGCGTGTTGGTTTTATTTCCTTTATTTTTTTTAGTTTTTCTCGGTGTACCTTTCTTTGTTTTGTATTTATCATTCAGTTAGATTACGTATAGCTTACTGTCAGTTTAATTATTGACAATAGAAACCTCTACACGAGTAAACAGTAAATTGAAATTCATTCGAATGGAGTAAAGAAGTTCATTTGTTCTGAGCGTGATTTACATGCAGTTTGCACGAAGCTGCGGAACTCAAGACAATATATTTTCAATAGAAAACGCTGCAATTTGTGGGAGAGTGGTTGGAGAGGAATCACCTATCAAAATTGAAGTCTATATTCCATACATTCTGTCTTACGTGGTGGCGACAATTTATTTAAAAGGCGAAAGGGAAATAGAGCGTGATCTGATCTGATTCACAGGTTTGCTCCGACATGGTCCTTGCCACTAGACGCGACATTTTCAAGAGCTGTAGTTGCTAAGTGTATTTCGAAATAAACCGGAAACCTCTACAGAGTGATAAATTCCCTATTCCCTATTCCTAGGCGTTAAAGTGAAAGACAAGTTTCCTTCGTAACGTCCATCTCCTGCCGCTTAACCGGGTTTCGCAACTCTACTTCTCGACGAAGGAAATCAGCTCTTGCCTCTCTCGATTTAATACTTGCGCGCGAACTACAATTGTAGCCTCCGAACTCTTAGGGCCAAATATTTAAACGAAGTCTGACTTAAGCCGCGGTTTAATGAATCTTTGAACCTCCAGATCTCTTCTTTGGTGGGTTGTTTTAAGAAGATAAATGCTTTTCTAGTCTTCTCTATATGCTTTCATAAAACTGTTCACAATAAATGACGTTTAGATCGTTGGGCAAATTGAAAATGACTTAGAACGCGGTTTTGTTAAACACTGGCTAAACTACGTTTAAATATTTGGCCCTTAGACTTTCTACTCGTATTTGACACGGTTGGACCCACTTGTGAACACGTAACAAACATTTCATCGTCGTCAACTTTATGCGGTGAAAATTACCTCAAAATGGAAATGTAGGTGCTCTACATGACAGTAAATTGCAAAATCAGGTTTCTAGTCTGCTACCACTTACGGTGAACACACAGAAAGTGCACTTCGCCTGCTAAATTTATTAAACGTTCTTACGGGACATAATTTTTATCGATTTCAGATTCACGTACCTCTGGCATAAAGGCCTCCTGCCAAAGCTGTTCTCAAACTATTTTCAATATGCCAGTAATGTCCACAATTACGATACCAGATATACATCGAAACAGAATCTTTACGTAAAAAAAGTGCGAACTAATACGGGGAAACAAACAATCGGATATGCTGCATGTTCCGTCTGGGACCAAATTCCCTTAACTTTTGAAGAACTAAACACATACCAATTCCAAAAACAATTGAAACCTTATTTGCTGTCAGAACAACATAGTTAACATAACTTAAGCATATACTCTTTCTTTCTTAATACAATACCAATTACAATACCAGATATACATCGAAACAGAATCTTTACGTAAAAAAAGTGCGAACTAATACAGGGAAACAAACAATCGGATATGCTGCATGTTCCGTCTGGGACCAAATTCCCTTAACTCTTAAAGAACTAAACACATACCAATTCCAAAAACAATTGAAACCTTATTTGCTGTCAGAACAACATAGTTAACATAACTTAAGCATATACTCTTTCTTTCTTAATACAATACCAATTACAATACCAGATATACATCGAAACAGAATCTTTACGTAAAAAAAGTGCGAACTAATACGGGGAAACAAACAATCGGATATGCTGCATGTTCCGTCTGGGACCAAATTCCCTTAACTTTTGAAGAACTAAACACATACCAATTCCAAAAACAATTGAAACCTTATTTGCTGTCAGAACAACATAGTTAACACAACTTAAGCATATACTCTTTCTTTCTTAATACAATACCAATTACAATACCAGATATACATCGAAACAGAATCTTTACGTAAAAAAAGTGCGAACTAATACGGGGAAACAAACAATCGGATATGCTGCATGTTCCGTCTGGGACCAAATTCCCTTAACTCTTAAAGAACTAAACACATACCAATTCCAAAAACAATTGAAACCTTATTTGCTGTCAGAACAACATAGTTAACACAACTTAAGCATATACTCTTTCTTTCTTAATACATTGTATTTTAAAACTGCTTCTTTGGAAATAAATTCTATCTCAATTCTCTAAAACTTTAAATTCGGGAGAACTGGCTAGAAAATCTTAGGATTATTTCAGCTCCAGGCCTTATTAAGTACAAATATATATATATATATATATATATATATATATATTTATTAAAAACTGAATCATTGGATAATGCAATTCTAGCATTTTGATTGGCGTAGCCGTTATGGTATATGAGCTGATATACCATGTTCTCCATATATGGTCGGTGTACGCGTCAGTTTAAAATTGGAAGCTAGCTGAGATTTTTTTTCGCGAAGGATAGAACGGCGCCCGAAGCAAATCGTTTTAATTCATTTCTTAGAATACTAGAAATGCAATTTCAACGAAAGAAAAAAGACAAAAACAAACAAAAAAGCCACAAGAGCTTGTTTGAAAGTTTGACGAAAAACACATGAAAACACATGGAACTAAAGTACCTTGACCAGCTACGAAAGAAGACAAGTGTTGTTTCTTCATGATCGCGAACCCATTCGCCGATCGAGTCACTCACCGATAGATAACTGCAGCTTGTTTTTCCGACATCAAGAATATAAATCACAAGTAACCAGCTACAAATACAGGCTATGCAGCCATTCACTAGAGCAATCGAGGCGGCAGTATAGCTTCTTTTCTCGTTCAGCAAAACCAGCTTGTGGCTTCAAACAACTTCATAACAAGCGACCGAGGTAATACCGGTAGTTTTTCTCCGTTGTTCTTACTTTTATAACTGCACCGAAAATCCAAATTCATAGTAATTTCGATGGCTGTCACCTAAAAATTCCTTTCCTTCACATTATCTGCCAGGTTTTTTAAGCTGTTCTGCTGTGTAAAATCCTAGAATCACGATGAGTTTTTAAAAAACTAATGTTCATCGCTACAATGTTTTGATTTTCGCGCGTTGACAGTTTTGATAGACGTGTGACATGTGAATAGCGGAAGTCCCTTGTCTTTTCCGGTTTGTTCTAGTCGGGGCGATTCAACGAGATTTTGTGGGCGTTTTTAATAAAACAATTATTCCACTCGGGCTTGTTGGATATGAACTGATTATAGCCAACTCGGCGCTATGCGCCTCGTTGGCTATCTATCATCTCATATCCAACGCGCCCTCGTGGAATAATTGTTAAATATATATATATATATATATATATATATATTTTTTTTCTCTTTCATGTATGTAATTAAGTACAAGGGGAATAAACGTATTGTTGTTGTTGTTGCTAGTTTGCAGAGTATATGCTGTTACGATTTTGGACGCTTGCTTTATGAATGAACGTTTGATTGCACAGTGAGAAATATAAAATAATTCCCAACCTCGTCCCCAGAGCGTTTCCCTAAAAAAATGGGAGCGGCCCCTCCCATTTTTTTTAGGGAAAAACCCTGGGGACGAGGTTGAATGATTCCACCTTTCCGTTACAATGTTCCAGGTTAAGCTGTTTTGTGCAAGTTAAACCGTTGCAAGCGGGTTCAGTGTTACTTTTTAAAAATTACCGGTGTCACGTCACATTACCTCAAATCTCTATAAGCCGGACAGCTCTCTAAGATGGACAGCAAGCTCATTCTCTCTAGTGGACGGTCAGGGCCGGTCCCGAAGGTGTCCGTCTTAGAGAGAGTTGACTGTATGCTAAAGCTGAATTGCGTTTCTTGCCAGAGCTGCCACATGCGTTGGAAACATTTTCCTGCTATGTCAAAAAGCTTGCTGTCTATAAAGCGTCTCTGGTATGCATCAACATTCATTTTGACAGCTTTGGTGTAATAATCTGTCATAATCTCGTTATCAGTCCGGGAGAAATTTTGACACCTATTTCAGTGTGAGGTTTTCACGGCAGTACTGTTCCGTAACAGAACATTACAGCTGTGTTATTAGGCTCACAAAAAATATGTTCAACGTCAGTGTGAGTTCCACAAACTGAACCCTGGTTAAAGCACTTTATTCCCTGAATACTGCTTCCTGTACTTGCTCCAAAAATGTCACTTTAAATATACAGTGTACGTGTCCTTGTACTTGTACTTGTACGTTGAAGAACTGTTTGCTCTTGCAGAAAAACAACAACAAAAAAATGGCGCCTAGCTCTACCATGTGCTCTCCGGTCACATGACTATCATGTGACCGGAAGTGCGAACCAAAACGCAGATATGCAAATAAAAACAAAAAAAAAGGGGGAAAAATAAAACAAATAGAATAAAATAAACTGACGACGGTCGGTAGTTACACCGGCCCCTAAATGAGAATGCACCGACAGCAATCTCATTTACAAACATAAGCTACCGACTACAACTAAACACAACGTTATAAAGGAATGATTAGAATCACTGTTCATGACTATCAAAGCCAATGTTCATATCAACGTTCATTAAATCATCTCCTTGCACTGCTGCAAAGTCACTTAAACTGGTCCTACTCTATCGGCCACTCCATCCATCTCCAGAAAACATAACTTTGTAACTGGGCGTGTAAGTATGGTGGTACTGGCTGCGGTCACAGGTTCTCTTCTGTACCGTCGTTTGGCACATGTTGCTACTGTTGCACTTGTCTTCACCTTCGCTGCGCGCACCCACCCATCGCGGCTCGCAATAACTTCCACAACTCTTCCAAGCGGCCACTTCCCTCTGGAAAAGGTTTCGTCTGCTACAAGCACCAAGTCACCAATTTGTAAATTCCTTTTGGCTCAGTCCACTTCTTCCTGTCTAACAGAGTGGGCAGGTACTCCCTCGTCCACCTACGCCAGAACAAATTGGCAAGATACTGCGCTTGCCTCCAAGCACGTCTGCAGGTGAGGTCGTCCTTGTCGAAGACCCCTGGAGGTACACTTGGGCACGGGCGCAGATGCAACAAATGATTAGGGGTTAATGGTTGCTCGTCTAAAGGACTGTCGCTATTTCTTGAGAGGGGTCTGGAATTGAGAATATTCGTCACCTCTGCCAAAACGGTTGAGAGGACCTCATCGGAGACTACCTGCTCCTTCAACATCGCTCGCAAGATCTGGCGCACGGAACGTATCATCCGCTCCCAGCTGCCGCCCATGTGGCTCGCCGCTGGTGGATTGAAAATCCATTCTATCATCTTCTGTCCACAAAAACTGTTGATCTTCTGCTGATTCCATCCCTCTATGGCTTCCTTTAACTCCCTTTCTGCGCTAGTAAAGTTTGTACCTCGATCACTTCTTATCTGCTCAGGACAACCACGAATACTGATGAATCTTCTGAGTGCATTTATCATTGAGTCAGTGTCCAAGGAATGGGCCACTTCTATATGGACCGCTCGCATTGTCAAACACGTAAATAGGCATCCATACCTTTTCACATGGGATCTGCCCTGCTTTACTTCAATCGGCCCGAAATAATCGACACCAACAAATGTGAATGGTGGCTTGTCAGGGGTTAGCCTCTCTTCAGGTAAATTTGCCATAAACTGCTCTCCCGGGCGTGTGTTTCTTCGCTGACAGTCTATACATCTCCTTAACACTCGTCGCACTGCTGACCTTCCTTTGACCACCCAGAATATTTCTCTTAAAGATGACAAAACACATTCTTGACCCATGTGACCCAAACTCTCATGATACTGCTTGATAATCAGATCCGTCACATGATGCTTGTAGGGAAGGATAATAGGGTGTTTCTTCTCATAAGGAACCGGGGCAAGTGCTAGTCGGCCACGAACCCTCAGCAAACCATCCTCTAAGCGTGGGTTGAGCTGATGCAACGCCGTTCCTGCCTTTCGAAGGACCCTTTTAACACAACCATCTGCATCGCAACTTCCTGCTGATGAGAGAACCTCGATGACTTGAGGGAAAGACACTTGCTGTACTTCCTTGAGGATTTCCTTCTCAGCCTCCTGAAGCTCTGCCACCTTCAAGTAGCCATATTTCACGAATGGCACTTCGCCACTCTGGACTTGGGATTCACTCGAAACTAAAGCGCTCCTCTTACTCAGCTGAACTTTCCGTAAAAGGTACGCCTTGTACCGCAACAACCAGGCTACAGCCCTTTTCAACTTCCACCAAGACGAGTAGCGTGCTATTAAGGGCTCCAGGTATTTACTTTGAACAACAACGGTGTAAATCTGAGCCTCCTTCCTGACTTCAGGGTCGTCATCTTTCAATGCTGGAATTTCAACCATCCTTGGCCAAAGGCTCTCATTTCCCCAAAGAAACTCCGGACCTCTCAACCAACGATCATTTTTTAACATGTCATCCAATTTAAGTCCCTTTGAGCCATCATCTGCAGGATTATTATCTCTGTTTACATAATGCCACTCGGAGTGGGAAGATCCATTATGTATCACCGTCAAACGATTGGATTCGAACGTGTGGAATCTTTTTGATTCGTTGCTGATACACTTCAACACTGACATTGAATCGGTCCAGTAGAACACTTTCTGGAAGTTCATATCCAATTCTTCACGGATAATCTTAGAGAGTTTCACGGAGATGACTGCAGCTGTCAATTCCAACCTTGGAATTGAAATCTCGCGCACTGGGGCTAACCTCGCCTTTCCCATTACGAATGCACAATGAATTCGACTGTTCTCGTCCTTCACACGGAGGTATGCAACCGATGCGTATCCTTGACGAGATGCGTCTGAGAAAAGGTGTAACTGTACTTCTCTTACTTCGCCAAACTCTCTGGGTCTGAAACAACGATCTACTTGCACTTCCTGTAACTTGGGAAGATCATCCAGCCATCGCCTCCACTGGATTTTCTCAGCCTCCCCAATGAGATCATCCCAACCAACGTTCTTTCTACTAAGGGCTTGCAACAACAGTTTGGCTTTCATGATGTATGGTGCAATAAAACCCAGGGGATCAAAAGAGAATAAACGGCTGACACTATTCCTCTGCGTGTCATTGGCCGCTGATTAGCAACTTGAAGGATCTTCTCCAAGACCTCCCACACAAATTTGTCTTCCTCTGTGTTCCATTTGAGACCTAGAGCAGATTCGGTCGGCAGTTTCTCCAAGTCCAAGTTTGCAAATGACTTGGCCCTTTCAGATTCTGGAATCGCTGCTAGCACATCTCTGTCGTTGCTATACCACTTTGTCAAATGGAAACCACCTCTTCTTAGTAGCTCCTGGAGTTGACTCACCAGCACAACTGCCTTCTCGGTAGTGTTTGTTGACTTCATCATGTCGTCCACATACATGTTACGCTTCACCGTTTCCACTGTCTGTTCCTCGAACCCTTCTCCATGTAACTCGGCGGTTTTTTTTCAAACAGAAATTAGCAATACTCGGGGAAGATGTGGCTCCAAATAGGTGCTTCACCATTCTATATTCTTCCAATTCTCGAGACAAGTCTCCATTGGGCCACCACAAAAATCTAAGTGCATCACAGTCCTTAGGTTCCACCAACACCTGATGGAACATCGCTTCAATGTCAGCTACCACTCCAATGGGCTCTTGTCTAAACCGACTAAGGACACCCACTAATTGATTTGTTTGATCAGGTCCCTGTAAAAGTTGTTGATTCAATGATGTCCCTCCGTACTTGGCAGCACAATCATAAACTACTCTCACTTTGCCGGGTTTTAAGGGGTGAGTAACGGGATGATGAGGTAGGTACCACACCGGTCTGTCCTTTATCTCTAACTCTTCATCGGGAACCTTTTCAGCGTGGCCACTTTCAATGTAATCAGCCATTGTTGTCTTGTATTTCTCCAACAAGGCTTCGTCTTTCAGGAGTCGTTTCTTTAGAAGCAAGCCTCTTCGCTCTGCAACTACCCTGTTGTTAGGTAAAAATGGTGGCTCATGTCGCCAAGGCAGGGCAACCTGAAAGTGTCCATCTACCATCTTAAGAGTTCTCTCCATTATTTCTAGGGCCCTTTTGTCTTCCAACGATGCACAAACTCGCGTCTCGACTTCACAGTTTTCAAAATCTGTTCTCCACAGTCGCTCCAACTGCTGACTAAGCTCATCGTCCCGAGCTTGACGATCAATTTCATCTATCTGTAAACGATGCTTGGGTTCACTGGCATTACATTCTAATTCAAGGACACAGTTCATGTCTGCAACATTCTCTTCATAGGCATCTTCACTGTTTAGCCCTGTAGACAACACAACACTCTTCTTGTGGTCTTTGCAAAGAACATAATCTTCAAAATCTAAACCACCTGCGCACACAACAGAGCTATCTTCCATACGTAGGTAGTTGACTGAGCGTTCGGCAGTACAGCTTTCTCCACCAACAGGACCTATCACCGTCCATCCTAGGCTGTACCTAATTGCTACTGGTTCTCCTTTGCCACCAGCTCGGCATTCTAACGGCAAGAACAAGCTCGGGTTGTCTTTAAGACCAACAATTAACATGACACTTGTGATGTCCAACTGTTGTAACTCAATATCACGCAAATGAGGCCAATTTTCAAGGTCCTCCTTCTTGGCTATACAGCTCTCAGTTATAGGCATACGCTTGACTGTCCTGACGCTTGAAAGTTCCACTGTCACTGATTCATCCATTGACATCACCACAAGATCTACTTGTTGACTTTCCACTCTGGCTGAGCCCGTCATCCCTGCTAAAGTGAAGTCCAGCCTCGTGCCGCTTGCACCCAATGTCTCCTTCAACTTTTCATGGCAAAGAGTCACTTCTGAGCCACTGTCCAACAACGCATATGTTTCAACAGGTATCAAATTGCTACCTTTGGCTGGGACCTTCACTGGAACAACACTAAGACAGACTCGCTCGCCGGCCCCAGTTGCAGCAGTTACGGCAGCACCTTCACTAGTTACTCCACTGGTTTCACTGTTGGTGTTCGCCCTTGTTTCTTCCTGATTAAGCTGGCGTGGATTAACACTTGGTGGGGTTGAATCTGCTGGAGGGGTGTAGCAGTGTGTTGTGTTCCTTCTTACATCCATTCACTTGACATTTGAACTGAGTTTTGGGGCAGTTTCTTGCAAAATGACCGCTCTGGAGACACTTGATACAAAGGCTTTGTTCATGCACTACTTTCCATCTGTCTTGATGAGATTGCTTCTTAAACTTATCACACCTCCACACACCATGCTGACCACGACAAACGGTACAAGCAGGCATTTTTTGGTTGTGTCCCCATCTCCCTGTCGACCTCGGACACCTCCAGATAGTGACACAAGTCTTCGAGGATTTCGACCTCGTTGGTCTCTCCGATTCACATTCTCCCTTTCCTTCGAAGGAGCAGCGTTAAGATCCTCTCCAAACTCATTATTAACAAGCGCAGCTCTGTCCTTTAAGTGTTTAAGGAAGTCTGCAAACTTAGGTTTCGATCCAAATGAAATAATCCTTCCTGCACATTCTGTCCACTTGACCCTCATAAACAGTGGCAGCTTCTTGTTCAGTTCCCTTAACGTATTCGTGTGATTCAAATCACTGACGTATTCAGGCCCCATGCCTGACAGTGTTCTATTGGCAACATCTAAATGGCGGGCAAATTCAAGTAAACTTGCTCCATTCGCCTGTTTCAAGGGAGGTAGGTCTTCCAACCTCTTGATATGTGCTTTGGCTATGATGTGAGGCAGTCCAAAGTTTTCGCGTAAGGTATTCTTTGCTACATAATATCCCTCGTCTACCGGTAGATTCACACAACTTTCAATGGCATCCCTTGCCTTGCCATAACAGTGTTGGATTAATAGCTGTAATCTCCTGGAGTTGTCGGGGTTATCTTTCTCTAAGCAGGTTTCAAAATTGTGCATGAACGAGACATACTTTATGGGGTCTCCATCGAATCTCATGTACTCAATCCTTGGGGCAGAAACAACTTGACGCAGTGCTTGTACTATCTCTGCTCTGCTATCTGGTGTCACCGATACTGGTTCTCGCATATAACATTCTGCTGGAACTGCACCAGGGGTCTGGGACCAGGGTACCTGAGTTGGCCATTGTGAGTACTCTTTGGTGTTAAAGTGGGTTGTTAATGGTGTCTGTACTTGTTGTGATAAATTTAGCACTGATGGATTTACAGGCGGATTTCTCAATGCTTCAGTGTCCTTTGCGTTATTCAGTTGCTCTGTATGTTTACCTGTTCCAGCTTCATCAACATAAACTGTATGCTCGGTTTCTGAGAACACTGGGTTGGGCACTGTAACGCTTGCTGACTGAAATGTCTTACCAGCTGAATTCATGATTCTCTCATTGTCTCTTAATGCAGGCACCTGCTCCAGAGGTGCAAGCTCTTGTACTAGTTGTTCGTGTGGCTCGATTAGCTGCGACTGAGCCACATTCTGTGCCTGATACCCATGTGGATGTAAGGTTTCCTCAGGTATAAACTCTGCTAAACGCTCCCTATACTGACTCTTCCCGCATTGATTCTCAAACTCTTCATACACATTAAGACTCGCTTTAGCCCGCTCTTCCTCCATCTTAGCCTCCAACATGTCCTTCTCAAATTGAAGCTCACTTAATTTGCGTTGTAACTGTTGTTCCTGCAGCACTTGCTTGGTCTTCAGTTGGGCTAGGGCAAGTTTTTCCTTTTTCTTCGCCACTGCTAATGAAGCTGAACTTGAGCCAGTTGACCCGCTTTTCGTACTCTTCCTTGACTTTCTTGGATAGGATTTCAAGTCATTCTCTCGTTTCTTAATACTAGATGTGACTTGGAATTTCCATGTTTCAATTTCATTGTCAAATGTTGCTTTCTTTGACATCTGCTCCTTGTAGTTAGCGTCAGCCCTTTCAACGTCTTCACAACGACTAAGAACATCAAGACATTCAATGTACTCTTCATGGGTGTTCACAAATCTCCTCCAAGCTTCTTCATACGAATCTCGCTTTAATTGTAAGTCCTCCAAAGTTCCACAGTTCTCAATTATGCCTTGAATGTTCCCTCGCAGTCTCGTGAGGGTTGCAACATAACCTGCACAGGAATATTTCAATGTGTTTGCCCTCTCAGCTGTTCTACTTTCAAAGTCTATATTAGATGGTACTTTAACTCGGGAACTTCTTCTTAATTGGGTTCCAAGTCTGCCCTCTGACAGAGTTTCCTGGACATTTTGTTGTTCCAGTTTGTCAGCAACAGGCACTGATCGAACAGACATTTTGCTCCACTGTACTATTGGCCACAAAACAAATAAACTCCAAACACAAACAAGATGGCTATTGTCACATACCTTAGACATCCACTATTTTCTCTGATAGCAAATAAGTAATATAAAAGTCTCACACAAGTCTCAAAGGTTGTACATGTAAAACAATTCTCGCAAAGCAACGAGCGTGATGTACGAAAATCGTACGCATAAACCAATGTTCTCCCCGAGAACAAAACGATCCAAACGTTTCCAAACAACTGAATGAGCAACAAATCCACACGTGAATAAGACCAATCTCTGTTAGAATATCGTTCTCCGCGAAGAATTGAACTAGACGTAAGCTTGAATCATCCGTAGACGTGGACACAATTCCAATGAACGCAACAAAGTTCCAAATGCGACAAATCACAACAAATTCTTGTCAAATAAATGTTCTCCCTGAGAACAAAACGATCCAAACGTTCCCACACACTTGAATGAGCAACAAATCCAGACGTAAATAAGAACCAATCCCTGTTAGAATATCGTTCTCCGCGAAGAATTGAACTAGACGTAAGCTTGAATAATCCGTAGATGTGGACAATTCCAATGAACGCGACAAAGTTCCAAATGCGACAAATCACAACAAATTCTTGTCAAATAAATGTTCTCCCTGAGAACAAATTCCAAATGCAAATGCGACAAATAACAGACAAATCCTTACTTGATGCCGTGCTTTCCTTGAAAGCAAGTTCCAAATCCGATCAATGAAACTCAAACTTGTCGAAGCTGTGTTCTCCCTGAGAACCAAAACATCAATCGATTCGGCGAACAGTTCTTCAACTGTGAGTTCCACAAACTGAACCCTGGTTAAAGCACTTTATTCCCTGAATACTGCTTCCTGTACTTGCTCCAAAAATGTCACTTTAAATATACAGTGTACGTGTCCTTGTACTTGTACTTGTACGTTGAAGAACTGTTTGCTCTTGCAGAAAAACAACAACAAAAAAATGGCGCCTAGCTCTACCATGTGCTCTCCGGTCACATGACTATCATGTGACCGGAAGTGCGAACCAAAACGCAGATATGCAAATAAAAACAAAAAAAAAGGGGGAAAAATAAAACAAATAGAATAAAATAAACTGACGACGGTCGGTAGTTACAGTCAGGAAGTTTCCAAAATTATTTTTCTGATATTTTCAATGAAAGATACATGTATAAAGTCCACAAGTAGGATTTTGAAGGACTTTAAATATCTGTAAAATATAATGATTATTTTTATTTTCAATCTTGTTTGGGCTGAGAAAGAACTTTTATGTTGAGACAATAATGACGTAATCTTGGGTTTGGTCAGTGATGAAAGAGTTCCAGCCAGGCCAGTAGATCCTGTCTAAGCAATACATAGCTTATGGAAAAATAAAGTATTGATACATTTAGAAGTATTAAATGAATGATCTTGTTGTTTGTTTTTGTTAGCTGACCTGGATTCTGACAAGTCAGGGTAAGTACTAACCAGTAACACAAAAACCTGATTGATTTCTTAATTCATCAGAAAAATCCTTATTGCCGGTTATATGCTTTTTAAGTCAGCTACCCTGTTTTCAAGGATGTTGATTTATAAGCCTGCTAGAAGGTTTTCACTATTAGTGGTTCGGTCCAGGGGCATAAATTCAGGGAAAATGAAAGAAGGGTGTATGAACGGGTAAAAGACACGAGAGCAAGATATTGCCTATCGGGGGTAGGCACGTTGAATCTGACACTCACCCACATGCTTATCTGTTTGAGAATCCTATAGAGCGATTTTCCATGTCTTTGAAAAATGGTTTCAGTAAGTCTTCGTTATTTGTTTTATCAGCCAATGGATGAAAAGAACAAAACATGGACTCTTCGTTTTCCCGCCAAAGAAAACCCTAATATGGAGAAGGCATTGTTCGATTGACCAATCGTGTTGCAGTATGACGTCAGAGCGATTTCTAGAAAGTTCTTCGGGCATGAAGTTTTTCCAGCCGAGCGTTCACTTAACCAACCAAAAACCAGGTGCCTTTGTATCCGTTCGATAAACCAATCAAATGGCTGTATTTCCGTTCTTTTGTTGTTTCTGTTTTGTTCGCGCGTTTTCATTTCAAGGTCATATGAAAATCGCTCTGTTAGTCCATGAGGCAAAACGTTCCTACACTGAAACTCTGAAGACACAATTATATTTTGATTACAGTCGCTTCACTCGTGATTTTTTGATCGCATCAAAAGTTTGCGAGACGAAATTTAAAGATTTCTTCCATCCTTGCACTGTTATTCAGAACCAGGAGTCAACATGTCAGGGGCCCGTTTCTGCAAAGTCCCGATAACTTTTCGGGCCCGAAATCAAATATTCAAATCGAAATATAAAGAATAAGAGCGCGGGTCCTGGCCAGCAAAATACTCCATTTTGTTTCAATAACTGATAGTTTTGTCATGTTAGATGCAAAACTATTGAAACTTCTATCTTGCATGTAAACAACAACAGCTTTACGGGCCCGTTAATTATCGGGACTTTCGAGAAACGCGCTCACAGTGAATGAAATTGACTGCACCATTGCTCTTTCAGTCTGTCACTTCTGGTAGGCTACGAGGAGTTAAAATACATTGTATTCTTGTGTGAATAAAGCATGTAGAATTTGACAGGGAGCCATGTGGGATCCTGTTACACGCAGTCTTTCAATTACAATCAGAGTAACAAGCTCTTGATTGTAACTTACAACGACACGTAGGATAAGAAGTTCAAATCCAAGTAAATCACATGGGTAGAGTGGTGCGTAAAGACGAACTCGACGAGAAGTTCTGATTACGATATATGCAACTTTGATTGATAAAGTTCAATGTTTCATACAAGTTCAATTGAGCCGAGATTGAGTGCGAAAGATGAAAGGTTATTTGTGGGCTTATGGTATTCGACGAAACGAAACGAAACGAAACGAGTACTGTAACTTGTGAAATCACAGGTGTCCCAAGCTCACGTTACGAGTTTTTTATGTAAATTAACTTTCTCACAAGAGAGTCGGTGTCGCGTTACAAACAACCGTTGACACTTTGAATGAGAAATACAGTACTGAGATCTCCGAACGCTAAATATCATTATTCTTACTTATTTTTCTATAAAATAAATAAAGGACACTTACTTTTGATGTATTCCTGTGTTTTTTTTGTTTGAAATCAGCGATTTGGTCGTTTTTTTGGCTGTTATTGTTTGACCCCTGTCACTCTCTTCATAATACGAAGTAAAGGCAGCACCGAAAAACAGCCGGCGGTCCGGACCTTGTCTATTCAAAGGTGGGTGCGGCCCGAAAACCCATCGAATCGCAGATTTTTTCGATCAGAGGCAAACTTCTATCATCGCTACACCGCAGAAAACGTTTAAAAGCGACGCATGTCGCTGGAACATTTCCTCGAGCCATGTCCAAAACACCATCTGTCTCCGGACACTGTGATACGGCAACCAGACTAGCGTAGTTACTAAAACAAGGAATGACCTACAATGACCCACAATGATCTACAATGATCTACGATGACCTACAATGACCGAACGAGGGCACCTGAAAATACGCTTAAGATCCCTGTAATAAGCTAAAATGAAGATTTTAGAAAAAGACAAAAAAAAAAAGATCAGGGGACATGTGTGCATAAACGTAACGCGTTTAGTCTACTGCATGACAGCCCAAATGACGACAGCATCTCTAATTATTACGCTTGGAGATAAATTTACAGTGTAATAATACATGTATGATGATAATGAAAAAAAAAAAATCGCAAAAAAACCTTTGGACTATTTTCCCGTGTTACAAACTAATCCAACAAAAATGGTTCCAGTCATCCCGTGAGATAAAAATGGACCTGCGCCTTCGTGAATCCAGTGTATTGTCACAGTACTGTGACTTTTGTCCAAACCATCCCTTGCAACCTTTCCCGTTAGTTGTGTTTTGCGTTGTCTTTTTTTCAAACAAATTAAACAAACACAGTCACCCCAACAGTCGATCCGGGGGGGATCTTCAAGGGACTTTCGGGTATAGATGAACAAACGAGGCCTTCAAATATCTGACCCTGTTTAAGAGAAAAATTGTTTATTTAAGTACCCTGGCCTGTATAAGACATCATGAGACCCTTTAAGTGGCTTCCGGTCTAACAAGATGCTCTGTTTGTAACGCTAAATAGTAGAATCCATGTCCTGCTCAGCGGCCCATACCCATCTAGGCCAACTAAGGGAGTGCCTGGATGACTTCCGTCAATACAGGGTATAATAGTGTTACCGGTAAGAACTCGATTGCAATAATTTAGTTTCAAGTTTCTCAAGTTACCTGAGATCAGGCTTTATTTTTGTTTTGCCTTTTCAAAATGTGCTTGGCAATAAAATACCATGAGCCTAGTGTCACGTCCAAGCGTGACACACGGCAAACATCATTGTCTGTCATTTTGTAGCTCATTGTAGGGCTTATTTTAACTCATTTTAGCTCGTATCAGCTCATTGTAGATCATTGCAGGTCATTCAGTAGATCATGGTAGGTCATTCCTTGTTTTATTAACTACGACTACTACGGCGTTGGTCCGAGGTCAAATTTCCCTCGACCGAGGGTGGCTCAGTCATATTAACTGAAATTTAATGTGAAGATTTTAGTTCGTTTTCACGCGAGAATGATCATTCTTTAGGTTTACAATTTTAACGGGTAAAACTGTTATTGATATCCAAACTACAACAACAACAGAAAACGTTTGTTGCGGGTTTTCTTTGTTGACTGAGCCACCCTCGGTCGAGGGAAATTTGACCTCGGACCAACGCCGTGTCCAGTTGCATGCCGTATCACAGTGTCTGGAGAAAGAAGGTACCGTAAATCCTCTATTACAAATTACAATATTCATGGTACAGTCTGTTTTCTTTTTAACAATACCGATTCACATATCAGCAGGCTAGCTGCTAATTTCATCTTTCAAGCATTTGAAAGACGAAAGAAACATAGTTAATTCTACCATTCCATTATATCTTCATTTCCTTAAACTTAGCTGTTTATTGTTATTTTGATCGGTAACACCTGTACAAAATGGTAACACTGAATAAACTTGTTGTTGTTGTTGCTATTAAGCCCCCAGGGGGCTTATTTATTTCAAGCCCATTTCAGGGGGGGGGCTTATTTGAGAGGGGGGCTTATTTAATTTAAAAACGACAATGGTATCAGTTCTCCGTAAAGAACTAGAATACAAAGTTGTAAAGCTCAAGTACAAGACGTTTTAGGTCATGCTGCCGAGGACTAGGATCAAATCCGATCTTCTATTTGGTAAATAAACCATCCCGGATCAGTGCACACGAAGTTTTACAGTCGTGATTAATTAATACCGTCTATCATTTATTAGTGAAGAATAAGTAGGGGAGGGGAGGGGGGCTTAATAGAGAGGGGAGCTTATTAACTTTCCTCCCCTGAAAAGGGGGGCTTATCAGAGGGAGGAGAGGGGGCTTATTTGAGACGGGGGGTTAATAGAAGATTTACGGTATTTCGGACATGTCTCGAGGAAATGTTCATTTCGAGCAACATGCGAGGGGATATTTCGCTTTTAAACGTTTACTGCGGTGTAGCGAGGATAGAAGTTTGCCTCTGGTCGAAAAAATCTGCGATTCGATGGGTTTTCGGGCCGCACCCGCCTTTGAATAGACAAGGTCCGGACCGCCGGCTGTTTTTCTGTGCTGCCTTTACTTCGTATTATGAAGAGAGTGACAGGGATCAAACAATAACAGCCAAAAAAACGACCAAATCGCTGATTTCAAACCAAAAAACACAGGAATACATCAAAAGTAAGTGTCCTTTATTTATTTTATAGAAAAATAAGTAAGAATAATGATAATTAGCGTTCGGAGATCTCAGTACTGTATTTCTCATTCAAAGTGTCAACGGTTGTTTGTAACGCGACACCGACTCTCTTGTGAGAAAGTTAATTTACACAACAAACTCGTAACGTCAAAGGTGAGCTTGGGACACCTGTGATTTCACAAGTTACAGTACTCGTTCCGTTTCGTTTCGTCGAATACTAATTGTTTCGTTTCGTTTCGTCGAATACCATAAGCCTTATTTGTGAACCACGTGGCCTGAAATACAACAGAGAAAATTAAATCTAACAGAACTAATAAATCTAGGATAGGCTGATGTGTATGAGAAAATTAAAGCTAACGTTCGCAATAATGGTAGCAACTCTGAAATGCCATAATTGCTTATTTATGCATATCACACGGAAGGCTAAACAAGATGATCAAGCTATACGATGAGTACGACTATACTACGACAGCTTACGACGGTGGCTAATAGTGAATATAAACTATATTAAAGAAAGAAACCTGACTTAGTAGCTCCAAAATGTAACAACGTTCCGAGAATAGTCGACTTGGTAACAATAAAGGAGCAATTAAACAGGCATTAAACTTCGCCGGAATTTCATCCGGTTACTTCGAGTCGTTGTTACTCCCTCAGTAACTGAGGGAGAAATAACGACTCGAAGTAATCGGACAAAATTCAGGCTACCATTAAACTTAACTTGACCAAAAACAGTGAAAAAGAAGATCTAAAAGCTTAAGCCCTAAAAACAACGAATTAATTACTAACTTTGGGTTGCACACGCGGTAAACTTGACTTGATTTGGGCCATAGGTTCTATCTACACTGGTAAGTAGAAGTTGTCAGATCGAAGTCTACACTAATACCGATAGCTGTGAAAACCTTATCGATATGCTTAACAAAAAGACACGCAGGCAAAACTTAGCGATGATGACAATTTGCCTAACAGAAATTGCAGCCAAGGGCTGGTCCGGTGTTACCACAATGTAAAATTGACAAATTGATAATAGCGGAGCTCCACCCGCGCGCGAAGCGCGCGCGTGGGCGGAGCCCCATAGCTAAGGAAATGTGGTAATCTACCCATCCCAGAAAATTTGGTAATCACGTGACCGTACGACCGTCCGTCCGCACCACAGGGATACCAATGTAAAATAACTCAATCAAAAGGTATGCGAGCCCAAATGCAACTCAAGGTTTTATTTGTAAGGAAATCACATGGCCGAACGGACTTTTAGAAAGAAAAAAGTCGTGTCTTTTTCGGCGTTATTTTTTATGTGTACACTAACGTGGATAACAGAGAAAAAACTAGAGCGAGTTATTGAAAATTCGTTGGAAGAAAAACATGAAAATTCAAAGCGGCGGTGAGAAAATGAGAAATGCTAGCGGCCAGTAAGGTGAAAATGAGCGGCAGTGAAAAATAAAAGCGAACATGAACACTGGAAACAAAATATTGGGTAGGCACATAAAATAGTGTGTAACTAGGAAGTTTGACGTTTTACTCGTGCAAAACAGTGTTGTAGTCGTGCAAAACAACGGCAAGGGAAAGACAGAAAAGCGTGCTGCACGTGCAAATTTGCTTTTTGCTAATTAGAAGAAAAAGTGTGTTTTTTTGCTAATTAGATCTATTACTCTTGAAGCCATTTTCATTGTCGTCCCCCTTTTAGCGTTACACGATTTAATTTTTTTTGTTTACACGTATTATTAACCAGAGCTTCGCTTTTAGCCCTGGCTAAATCTATATATTATCTACGGTATAGTAAGTTCCAGCGATAAGAACTAATCTAAACGCCACTTTTCAAACCCAAAATTGATTGGCTGCCCACCTAAGAGGGGGTACTCAAGAATGTTTAAAAACGGGAGGGTTCCGCCCTGAAGTCCAACCCCTTACCTTTTATAAACCACTTTAGACAGAAAAGTTACCCCAGGTTTCATATTCCTTCTATGGGCAAATGGTACCCCTTTCACAATTTTATCTAGTTTAGATCTTTCCATAAAATGAACTGTCTTTGAAATATGAATAAATCACAAAACCAGAATGTTTTCTTGGGGCGTATGGAAAAGCCGGAATCCGGAATCCGGAACCGGAGCCGGAAACGGAACCGGAACCGGGACCGGAACTTAAATTGAGACCGGGGTAAACCAGGAAGCACTGAAACCAGTTCCCGATACCCGTGTGGAAATAAAATTCAAGATGGCGTCCTCTGTTATCATTTTTTTGAGAAATTTTCAGCACAATGATCGTGATACCAAAGATATAATCACATTCGGAAAGTGACTTCCAACCAAAAAGAACATAACCACTCAAATTCAAAGAATCAGCCCATGCTGTTCCGCCGCAGACTCGAGCATAAATTCAAGCACAACAACTTCACATTTTCACACGTACTCACATTTCAATCGATTCGTCGCTTTGTCGCGATCTGTAAACGAAAACAGATCCGTTTTTGTAAAATGGTAAAATTTTTTCAAACTCAGTAAAACGGAAAAGAATGAAAACTTTTAGATTCTTACTCGTACCTTTTCTTACAGCAGTTACCACTAACACGCGCCCTCGAAGGGTTTTTTCTCTCTCTAAGTTTTCATGGACGTCAATCAGCTGTTTCCATGGTTTTCTCACGTGCTCTGACTGAGAAGGTTCCCTCATCCCTGAATGAAGGGAGAAGACTTACAAGAATAATAGGGAACTTAAGATGGAGACGTTTTCGGGGCGACGGCGACCGGACTGGCAGAGAAAGCCTGGAACTAAGGCAGCCGTCGCTCCCCGTCAAAAGTAGAACATTAAGATCGCAGTGAACTCAGAAGGACGGCGCCTTTAATTAGAAGAATACCGAAGAGGAAAATATGGCCTCACATAAAGAATTAAGGGAATAAATATTTGCTATGCAGACAACATGTATCGGATGAAGAGTTTCTCGTTTTGTGGGAAAATTATGAGTCCAAAAATCCCGATTTTCCTCGGGACAGTTACGATCCGTTCACGCTAAAAAACATGCGGGATGCAGCTAAGTTCAAGGCAGAATTTCGTGTTGAAAAAAAATGATCTCCACAGGCTTGCCGAAGCCTTGCAAATTACAGGAAAATTAAAATGCTACCAAGGAACCGTATTCTTAGTTTGGTATTGAAATAATTCCCGGGAAATACTTGCATGCAACAACAACGTCAACGGCAACAACTTTATTTCAGTATTCCCACGTTAGTACATGGTATTACCTACTATTCCATATAATTTTCAATGCGTTTCATTTATACGATATTCTAACGAAAGAGCGAACTACAAACACACAATTGAAATATCGGAGTTCATATTTTTTGTCTGGATACTTTTATTTGGCTCGTGGGAAAATTTTGTCCCATGTCAAGCTCACTTACGGTTGGCTGTTTGCCAAGTTGGATCTTGAGATGTAAGTTTAGATAACAGAGCTTGGAAATCGAGCTTGAAATGTGCCTCAAAGAAAACAAGGACAATTTAAGAACGATAATCTGCAAAATGTTGGTTGCTAAACGTAACAAACCTGATTGAAATGAAAGTTAAATACTCACGTTTTCGCCACAACGCCAAACAGACCAGTTTCACGTCGCCGACGGGACCACGACGGCAAGGTGGTGAGCACGAGCATGCGCAATATCCAACAAATGATGACGTCCGGTTGAAGTTGCCGTCGCCCCGAAAACGTCTCTATCTTAAGTTCCCTAATTTCGAATGACGACGACGTTTATAATTATTTCAATAAGATGAAAGATTACATTGTTTAAACAAAGAGGTCTCTGCGAGCTGAGTGAAATAGCCGAAACACTCTCTATAGTTTACGTAAAGGTTTCCAGGTTGTTTATTTTTTATTTGATAGTACAGGCACGGGAGCCGTGGACGAATTGCCAAGGTCTTTAGGAGTATAAATTCAACGAAACGAAAGATATCACACCGACAAGGGAAAAGGTTTCCTCTGTGTGGAGGCTGTTTTCGAAATGAATTTTGTAACCTGCAGATCTACTTATCATTCTTCATGTTATCGAACAGAATCCAGAACTAACAAGAACTTAGACGAGTTGCGAGTGTGTAAATAGGTCGATAATTTGAGTTTTCTCCCACATACTCTCGACAAATTCGTGCTCCTCGTAATCTTGACATGAAGCGGTGTCAGATCCTGTAGCAAAATATTGCAAAAACGTCTTAAACAACGGCATGTTCTTCCGAGTGCTCGAGAAACGGCATCCTCGGAGACCCAGGGGCAGATAAAGGGGGCGAGGGAAAGTCTAAACGGGTAGAAAAATATATATGGAACGAAGAAAAGTTAAGAACGGCGAGAAGAGCTCCTGGGGACAATGTCTTACCAGACCAGTTCCAAACGGTCGCCGCCGTTCTGGCCTCTGATTGGTGCCAGAAAAACACAAGTTTTCTGGCACCAATCAGAAGCCAGAACGGCGGCGACCGTTTGGAACTGGTCTGGTAAGACATTGTCCCCAGGGGCTCTTCTCGCCGTTCTTTACTTTTCTTCGTGCCATATTTTTCCGCCTGTTTAGACTTTCCCTCGTCCCCACTATCTCCCCCTGGGTCTCCGAGGATGGAGAAACGGGGAAAGAATCTTGCTAGGCCAACGCGTGAAAAACCATGGTAACGGTTGATTGACGTCAACCAAAACGCAGTTGTGAATCGGAGAAAAAACTCCTCGAGGGCGCGTGTTAGTGGTAACCCCTGTAAAAGGGCTCCGTGTTTCATCCATTGTGAGGGAAAGGCCGCAAAGGGAGGAGGAGTACTCATGTCAATCATGATCCCAAGTTGCAACGCTCACGCGTGTATGAAATTCTCGAAGAAAAATTTTGCGCCGTAGGCAAAAAATGCGACAGTAAAAAATATAATAACAATAAATAAATATAATGTGGTGATGAAAAGTCTTGATCGAGCAATTATTGTTAGTGATACTCTCAAGATTATTTCTTAGGTTCGGGTTCCGGTTCCGTTTCCGTATCCGGCTCCGGTTCCGGATTCCAGATTCCGGCTTTTCCATACGCCCGTTTTCTTGACTTTGTCGCAGCCTTGAAATGCGTGTGTTAGTTTTCCTACTCTTTTCAAATACGTCAACTCAGAAAATCACTATATTCTTGCATATACCTAAAGCCTGGAAAAGGTACCCCTTCATAGCGAGTACTCTTTAACCCTCCTCCCCCAGGATTTATATAGCCCTGATTTAGCTTGTAGTCACACTCATGATTTTAAAGTTGGACTCTCACTGCTCAGGTATTACATACGGGGTAATTATCACTTGTATGATTACAGACCTTTAATGAAAATTATTCCTCTCAGTCCTGTAACTATCAATAATAATTTGCGGTTATGCCTGTACACACAGGTCGATTGAATTTGATGAGTTCTTGGAGTTTGTGATTGCAAGACAAGAGGATGGAAGAGATGTCCACAATGAAATTATTCAGGTGTTTTGCCATTACCTTGATGTACCTTTTTGTCATACTTATAATGTACTCACTATATAGTTAAGATAGTTTTACAATATTGTACATTCCTAGCTTTTGTTTTAACATAGTATTAATTCAATGGAACGTTATCTTACCCACAGGGTTTCAAGATGTTTGACACAGGTAAGCAAAAAAAATTTGTAGTATTTTCTAGGACAACTTTAGCAAAACCTTAATGGTTGATGACCGCACTGCATATTATGGCTGTTAAGGGTGAAGAGAAATCACTTTGATGCCCCTGTGTCATAATTTCAGTGAAATGTAAGAATTTGCCTGTAATGGATTGGACCAGACTTGATCAACTCTTGTATTACTTAAGCTCTAACCTTTTATCATTTAGCGAGTTACAAAGGTTGGTCCCATCCAGTCTGACCCAGGTTTTGTTGATGCCTAAATTTTTAGCTGTTCTGAGTGTCTGAATCTTTGTTTCTTTGAACTTTGTGTGTTTTTGTCTGTTCTGCAAGGACCACTAAGTGGGGTAGAGAATGGCTCCTTGAAAAAAGTGGTCTTGGAAAATTTTGGCCCGATATTTTTCGGTGGATCCTGAAGTCTCGATTTTGGGTGATTTTGCGTGTCGGAGCCTCGAATTGTCTTAAGTCTCGGTCTCGAATTTTGAAACCTGGGTCTTGCAGTCTCGCAAAGTCTCAAATTTACCATTCTAATACCCCTAATAAGGTGAAAGGTACATTTACTATAGTCGAAAAGTGATTAGCAACCAATAAGATTTTGGCAGGTAGAATTTTCATTTTAATAAGGCTGCTGCCTTAAGAAATTGACAACTAAAAAATATGGTCAGTCGAAAACAGTACAACATTCAAAGTGTATCTATTTCACCAGCGATGACTTTGTTTCACTGGCCTTAAAGTAGAGTACAAAAAACGAATAATTAGTTTAATATTTTGTGGGTTTGCAGATTAAATGGGAAAAAAAAATTGTTTGACTACACGTGTTCATTTTAAGTTAAAATAAATGTACATATATGCATCATTGTGGTCTAAGAAGTTCCAAAACACCCAGTGGGTTATTATTTTTAAGCTTACAAACCAAGTTAATATCGTAAACCATAGGTAGCCCAAGTCCAACATTCGAGCATCAGCTCTGTTGCATATAACCTTCAAAATATAAGGATTTTGTAGAGAGGAAAACGGTAATTACTGTAATCTTTTGATACCTACAAATATGAAAGAGATGAAAATAAAAAAAGGCATACCTTTCAGGGGCGGATCCAGGATTTTTTTTAGGAGGGGGTGCACTCGTCTCTGGATCAGCTCTACTTCAACACCAATAAACCACATAGTTTTTTTTTTGGCAGAATACCAGTTGTATTAGAAAACCGCAGGTCATCTCAGGGGGGGGTGCGCTCCCCCTGCACCCTCCCCCTAGATCCGCCCCTGCCTTTTTAACATATTTAACTGCCGCCTGGTTTGCTCAGATGGAAGGGTGCCGGTCTGCGGAGCGGGAGGTCGCGGGTTCAGACCCGGCCAGACCAACACTCGGGGTCTTTAAATAACTGAGAAGAAAGTACTGCCTTTGTAATGACATCTGCAAACGGTTAGACTTTCTAGTCTTCTCAGATACGGACGAAAAACCGCAGGTCCCATCTTACATCACTTTCACTTATCTAGTTCTTGTGGGATGTAAAAGAACACACACTTTGTTCGAACAGAGTAAGGGGCGTAGACCTCGGTGGTGTGGCTACCCTTTCCTAGGGTGTGTTATATGTAAGGAGAGGTCTTAATACGGGGATAATCTCATTATCCTCCTTCAGGTGTGGTTACGGCTACCCTTAAACAGGGTACCCTACTTGAACCTTTAACCCAATAGTGACCAGCGTCGAATTTCCCCTATCAACAATATCACCTAATCAAACATACTACGGGGGGGGGAGGTAATCAAAGTTTTATATGGGAAGTCTCCACCTCGAGGTCCAACCCCTTACCCTTTAATATATACCATTTTTCATGAAAAAGGAACCCCTTTGCATTGGTATACTGCCTAGATAGATGGCACCCTTTTCACATACCTAGCTTACAACTTTGAACTTTCCAGACCTTTTAACAGCTAGAAATACACTATCTTTTAAAAACGACTCAATCAAAAACTGAGCACTCTTATTCTTAATTATATTTATTTGTTTTCGTTTTGAGCAACGTGAAACAGGATCTAAAAATTAGGTTAAACTATATACGAAACAAATTTGATCATCAACTTCTTCTTCCTTATTGGGCTAACCCCAGAAACATTTTATACCATGTTTTCCCCCTTGCAGACAAGACTGGAAAAATCTCCCTAACTAATCTGAAACAAGTGACTCGACTTTGCGGAGTGAAGCTGAATGAACAAGAATTGAAAGAAATGATCCAAGAAGCTGATAAAGATGGCGATAATGAAGTGAACCAGGAGGAATTTGTTAATATAATGTTAAAAACAAACTTGTTCAGTAGCTAGAACAAAACCAGGTACACTTTGGTTGAATAGGTTTGTCCTCTTTGTTGATATGAATGATATTAAAATATATGTTTCGTTGTTAGAACCCTTGAATTGGAACATCCACTGTGGCTTTAAGATCAGCAAAGAAAGACAACGCATATTTAGGGAAAACATGGGTTTTTACCCCACCACGGTAATAACCCCTGAAAAGAATTTCCTTTGGCATTTTAACTCGAATTAATGCCAACTTTTGAGATAAATAACACAAAGAGTGGGTCATTTCCCCCACACACTAGCCGGGGGAATAAATTGTTTTGGCACTTACCAACAATAAAAAAATACAATGGGCGACCCCAACCCTAACGTGGTGTCCTGTGCAAAGAGCTTTACAAGATTTTCATATGTTCCACCAAATCATGTACATTTAACCGTTACTGAATGAGCCTGTCAAAGTATGATGTAAAAAATTATGCAGATTGAAGATTGGCCGAGGTGGATAACAGCCTCCTAGATCAGCATAATTCTTCACATCATGTGAAAGTCCAATTTATTAATTCAAATTGTTTAAATATTCTTTCAAAATATTTCAAAGTTCCTATTTCTCGGCACAATTTCAGGATATGAAAAAAAAAATGTTTTTCTTAGAGATAATCCTCAAAAAGTAGATAACATGTTTTGCGTTGATAGTAGATAATATGTTTTGCATATTCTTGCTTTTCTTCAGTTCAGTTTTAGTCAGAAATTCAGCTATTTAGTCTTCAGATAGTTGTGAACGCCATTTTGTTTGGTTAACTATTGCCCAAGCAGCCTCATTTCCAGGCAAATATACCATCGATCACCCTGATCCTTTGAAAGCAAAAATATATATTGATTCAACGGTATATTACATACCATGAATGATTTTAAATGCGTTATTATGATGTGAAGAATAATGCTGATCTCGGAGGCTGTTAACCACCCATCTAAGCAACAAATTGCATATTAACTCTTCAAATCATACGAAAGCCAAATACAAGTAATTTTAGATATAGATATATCTATTTTTTCTGAACTGCTTGGAATGATTTTTCTAGAGTGCTCAACTTTTTAGGAGCAATGAATGATATAATTGAAACATAGTTCAAGATTCAGAAGCAAAACATCACTTTATTGCTACGGCTCTGTTTTGTATGGCTAAAAGGCGAACACAGTCATCAGGCAATTTATCTATATACACTTGGCAACTTGCTTGTTTGGCCACCTTTTGAATGATGTGAAGAAATCAGTTTAATGCTGACCTGGAAAACCCATGGATTCTCTGGAATATGAAGGAAAAGTTTAAAAAAAGTCATATCTTGTGTGATTTCTTCATGGATTTGCAAAAACTGTTTAAAAAAGAAAACAATGAATTTTAATTCTGTGCTATTTGGTCAGAATCCTATGGAGTTACTGACAGTAAGAATTCATATGGCGAGAATGCCTAAATCAGGAACAACAGCTGATGCAGGATGTTGTTTCTGAGTTGTTGCAGAGTCAGAGTCAATATGTGAACTAGCATTGTCCTTTCTCCTCTCTTCTCTACGATTCTTTTTCTCCTGCTTTGCAAGTTCCTTTCTTTTCTTGTTGCTCAAATTTTGTGCAATGCCTGATTCCTTCCTATTTTCAGTTCTACTCTTAACTTTGGGCCTTGCACCTTGATGTTCGTAATTTTGATTTGTCTTCTGGGTACTTGATGATAGAGTTCCCTTTAGATCTTCTATAAAGCCTTGAAAACCTTCAGTCTGCTGAGCATGTGAATGAGTTACAGATCCCTCTCTTTGCTGTCCAAGTCTTTCATTGTCATTAAAACAGTTAACACAAGTTTTACAAGTACCATCCCTGTTCTCACAATCCCTATTTGTTTCAATAATGTCACATGTGGCATCACATGAAGACTTAAGTTCTGCTTGAATCTGTTCAGTTGATAGCTCATTACTAGTTGAAACAAGATCCTGCGACAATCTGTGCCCTGAAACAATGAAAACAACAACACCAAACAAAATTATATTAATAGCGTTGCAACACTAATATTAATGACAATACTGTCATTGTTATTATTAATACATCTGGACCGAGCTGTTAAAAGCCTTATTTGCTTGAATCCTGGGTTTAATGTAAACAGTGTATCAGTTGTCATGGTAACTAACTTTGGATTAATGGCAACTCGTCCTTTAAACATGACACGTGGTCTATGCACAAAGTGGAGGTGATACCGGTCATTGTAAGAGCTTGGGGAGCAATCCCTAACAGCTTTTTCACAGTGCCCAGTCAAGGCCATTTTCTGGGTATGACAGAAAAGAGTGTAACTGCTATTAAAATGTTTTTGTGAATTCCAAGAAGCAACAACAGTTAATTCTGCACTACCCATATGCTGCAGGATAAAATCCTTTCAAGGCTCTCCTGGAAAGATTTTTAATAACCTCCCTAATCACCACAGAATTTGTGAAAATTTGAGACATTTTCACAGGGAAGTAAATTCAGCTCAGCAGTATCTTTCCCCATACTCCAGAGTATTCATACCCCCGAAAAAAAAACCACTTCAAAAACTCCCCCTTCCCACAAAAAGCAATGCTGAAAGTCGGACTGGATCATTTCTGACATTGACCAGGGTGGGGTGTGGGGAGGGGCCTTAATGATACCCAATCCACGGGATACGCATTTTGTGGGTAAGAAAGTGCAAAATTCTGAGCAATTTTAGTCCTAGATTGTAGATACACTTAGGTTTCCTCTTGTATTCTTTATCTACTAGCTGTTATACCTTTAATTTTTATTTGCAAATTAAATCTTTTTTTTATCAAATCTACCTTACATTTATCTTTTACATTTACCTTTTATCACTTTTTAGTCTACAATATTTATTTTTTAATTTTACATTTTTACATAACAGATAAATTAGTGCATGTGTAAGAGTCACTCTGTAAAAAACCTTTCGTGATATTATACCATTATTATCATCTCATACATGAATTAAATTTAAATCTGCATTCCAGCATGCATAACGTCGAGCAGTGATTTTTTCGGCTACATCTTCTCAGTATTCAGTCAGATTAAAAAAATTGTTGAATGAATAAAATAGTAATAATTTGTTGCTTTGATGAAATATATTAGACTGCCAATTCAGCCACTTTTCCTCACCCCTCACCAATGGGGACGTTTCTTGGGAAAAACATCAGCGATTCGGGACCCAAAATTCCATAATCCTTACATATGAATTATTATTATGCCATAAAAAACAAAGGAAATAAAATTTAAAAATTAAGATGTAATTTAAACCAACCTAGCCATCCTTGCTACTGTATGTCAGACGGACATGCAGTTTTATTCATAACGAATAACAATAAATGTACTGTATTTTCAAAATAATGAAACTGACATCTGTTAGGAGGCAGCATGTCCAAGTGGCCGATCAGCAGTAGTATAGGAGGGATGTTTTAGGCCCCTTTTTTGAGCAGGAATCTCATAAGCGTGAGCAGGAATACATTAACGCCGATGACGTCAGAGGCTATTGTCCTGATCTCATGAATAAAATGCTGTGGTATCTCATAAAGATAAGGTCATGTGCTATTTTTAGATGGATGATGTCATGGTTGGTATAACCGGTTTGACAGGTTTTAGTTATTGTCGGAAGATGATGTCATATGTATTCCGGGGTACTATGATGTCATAGTTGTTTTGATTGGTTGACCGGAATTAGAAAGACGCTAATTGGCTGTCTCGTTTGACGAAGCATTCTGGTTGGTTGCCGTATTTTTTATTGTTCGAACGGCATAAAAGCCTGCTCAATGCCTTCCCGCATACTAATTTGGATTTCCTGCATACTAATTAAGTGTCTTCCTCCATATATAATGAAGTGGATAGGTTTACTAATGAGCGTCACTCTACTACAATAGGAACAATAGGCTTGCCTAGACTTGCCCGGTAAGTAACTTGAGCCCTGTTTTCGGACCGTCTATTAAAAGAAAAATAGGAATAAGAGAAGCGATCACCTAGCAACGCGAGAAACGGCTTCCTATATCTTATTTAGCGCTAAAACTCAGATATACATAAACAAAACACATACAGAAAGTGGAGTTGAAAAGTCTTTATTTCAATTTAGTTTACGTCTTCTTATTTAGCGCTAAAGCTCGGATATATATAAACAAAACATACACAAATTGGAGCTGAAAACGCTTTATTTCAAGTTTGTCTGTCTATTACAGAACAGTTTTCTCCCATCTATCTCGAGGACATGAAAAACTATTGAAGTCTCAACGTTTCACGCGCGGATAATCAGTTAATTATGCGAGTTCACTAGCCCAAAGTTGAATACAAATTAGCTCTACAGGAAAAACCTCAAGGGAGCAACCTTGACGTATTATTATAAAACCAAATAACTTACATGTAACAAGGATCAATTAAAACACGCGACTCATAATTGCTAGCAATAAAACCACAAGAGAGATACCGTTTTGAAAACTTTATTAAAAGTCAATAACAAAAACAGTCAAATACACAGCGATTTGAAAGGAAAAGGAATGAAAATTAATCCTTTGACTGACTATTGCGAATCAGTTTTTTCCGTCCTATTTCGAGGAATAATAATCTTTTTCGCAAATAGTCAGGTTATATAGAGCGTCAGAAAGGCCAAACACAGGCCAGAAAGGCCATAACCAGACCTGAAAGGCCAAAATCAGGCCAAAAGGGACAAAAGGAGACAAACGGGCCATTTCTAGTCATGTGTCTTTATTTTCTCAAACATACGCGTGGGTGTCGCGCGCGGCTAGTCACGCACTAGCTCTCAACATTGGAATCATCATCTTTATTCAGGGTAATCATAAATAACAGTGCATAATTAAAACAGTTTTGATCGTGAATTAGTAATTGGTATTTCAAATTTCAGATTTTTTTATTTATTGTATCAGTTTACTATTATTGTTATTATTTTCAAGTCAGCAATAAAACAGTTCATTCACCAGCAGAGCACAACAATTATGTTTCGTTGCTTTTTCGGAGCAGCCTCTTTCTCGTAAACACGAACCACATTGCTGTTTTGTAGCCAATGTTTCGTTTCTATCCCCGATAATTCATGTACTCGAGTTAAATGATCTGCTAATCGAACTAAAATGATTAAATTCAACCAATGATTTATTTACAAACTATGAACAAATGACATTTTTTAGACATTTAGGAAACTCTTTTATATAAAATGCTATTTACAAACTTGAGAAAACCAAAATTATTTACAAAATCTATTTTTTTCACAATCTTTACAACCTTTTACCTTTCAAATGAGTAAAACTATTTGCAACACAAAATTTATTGTTGATTTTCAAGGGCAGATCGGGCAGAAAGGGCACCTTTTTAGCCCTGTGTTTTTTCCCCTGGGCGCGCGTGGAGATTTCTCGTGTAAGTCGTGTAAGGAAATTAGTTTGTAAATAAATCATTGGTCGAATTTAATCGTGGCTTGTTTCCTGACTCGACGCGAACGACTTACACGCGAGATCTCCACGATTGATTGTTGTGCTCTGCTGGTGAATAAACTGTTTTATTGCTGACTTGAAAATAATAACAATAATAGTAAACTGATACAATAAATAAAAAATTTGAAATTTGAAATACCAATTACTAATTCACGATCAAAACTGTTTTAATTATGCACTGTTATTTATGATTACCCTGAATAAAGATGATGATTCCAATGTTGAGAGCTAGTGCGTGACTAGCCGCGCGCGACACCCACGCGTATGTTTGAGAAAATAAAGACACATGACTAGAAATGGCCCGTTTGTCTCCTTTTGTCCCTTTTGGCCTGGTTTTGGCCTTTCAGGTCTGGTTATGGCCTTTCTGGCCTGTGTTTGGCCTTTCTGACACTCTATATAACCTGACTATTAGCGAAAAAGATTATTATTCCTCGAAATAGGACGGAAAAAACTGATTCGCAATAGTCAGTCAAAGGATTAATTTTCATTCCTTTTCCTTTCAAATCGCTGTGTATTTGACTCTTTTTGTTATTGACTTTTAATAAAGTTTTCAAAACGGTATCTCTCTTGTGGTTTTATTGCTAGCAATTATGAGTCGCGTGTTTTAATTGATCCTTGTTACATGTAAGTTATTTGGTTTTATAATAATACGTCAAGGTTGCTCCCTTGAGGTTTTTCCTGTAGAGCTAATTTGTATTCAACTTTGGGCTAGTGAACTCGCATAATTAACTGATTATCCGCGCGTGAAACGTTGAGACTTCAATAGTTTTTCATGTCCTCGAGATAGATGGGAGAAAACTGTTCTGTAATAGACAGACAAACTTGAAATAAAGCGTTTTCAGTTCCAATTTGTGTATGTTTTGTTTATATATATCCGAGCTTTAGCGCTAAATAAGAAGACGTAAACTAAATTGAAATAAAGACTTTTCAACTCCACTTTCTGTATGTGTTTTGTTTATGTATATCTGAGTTTTAGCGCTAAATAAGATATAGGAAGCCGTTTCTCGCGTTGCTAGGTGATCGCTTCTCTTATTCCTATTTTTCTTTTAATAGACGGTCCGAAAACAGGGCTCAAGTTACTTACCGGTCTAGGCAAGCCTAGACCAACCATGACATCATGACACCATGACATCATACCAACCATGACATCATCCATCTAAAAATAGCGCATGACCTTATCTTTATGAGATACCACAGCATTTTATTCATGAGATCAGGACAATAGCCTATGACGTCATCGGCGTTAATGTATTCCTGCTCACGCTTATGAGATTCCTGCTCAAAAAAGGGGCCTAAGACATCCCTCCTATACTACTGTCAGCACATCAGACTTGGTCATGATGTAGCATTCCCAGGTTTTAGTCCCGCTCGGGCAACTTTCTGGATTTCTCGGTTGTCCCAAGTTCAAATCCGCGGCCATGCTTGTAAATAGCCAACTGGTTGCCTCCTGTCAGTTGCAGTTTTAAATCCTGTTTCTCTTTGCATTTTGTTTTTCTAACTGTTTAAGTGAAGCGCCTGTAAACTAGCAAGCTAAGTGCACTTTCCACTATAAATGAACCTCTTACTTTTAACTTTATTTAAATTACATTTTCTGGTAATGATTGGTAAAGATGTACCTCAGCAATAATTAAAACAAGGTTTACATTATTTTACGTCTTTCAATCCAGCCTGCGATTCTCAAATAAAAATCTTCCTCCCCGATAGCAAATTAATGTTAGGAGTTCAAGCAAGAATCCTCTTAATTAATCAAAAAGAGAACAAAGATAAATGCCCAAGAAGAAAAAACCTGTTTCTTCAGCAACATAGATCAACTGAAGAATGTAATGAATGGCAGCATCAACATTGTACATATTATCCATCAGAGCTTGTTTTATTACAACCAAATCCTGAGAATAAATGAAGACCAAACATTGTGTGAGTTCTGTTCATGTTACAACCCTAGCAAAAAAGTAAAGACTTTCTTAAACTTGGTATTAAATTCTCACATGCTGGAGTGACGTCACCAATCCCTGAGCCAAAATTGCGCATGGGACATGTAGCAGATACCTTTAGTGGACCTTACCCATTATTAAGCATAGAGCGACCAGTCTACACACTGAAATGAGGATATGCCACTCAGTGGGCACTTCACAGAGGTTTGACTGCAATACAACACTGATATATATAGTGCAGCAGACTGGAACATTATTTACAATATAACGGTAGAAAGAAAAAAGACTAACAGCCTTTAATAACACATTTTTGAGAAGATTACTATGGGTATGACAAAGTAAGAATTATTGAGAAGGTACTCAAAAAACTGGACGAAATGGAGCCCCTGGTCTTCAAGGAAACAGTTAACTTGGCTAGGTCACATAGTCTGTAAGGCACCAATGACGCTTAGCCTGAAATTCATCCGATTGCTTCGAGTCGTTTTCTCCTCTCAACAACGTCTGAATCGACCGGCCGTTAATGCCGTCCAGTGACGTCACTCACTACCCGAAAACCGGGTAGTGATTTTGATTGGTTGATTGTCTACACATTCGCATAATTATGTATAATTATGAAAAATTTTAGCGGGATTGTCACTTGATTTTCAGCGACAGCCTAGTCCCTAGGCGTTCTCGACTCGGTCAATCCTGGACTCTACCGTGAGCTGTGACGTCACCGAGAGATACAGACTTCGCGCGGACAACGGGGCAAGAGAGAACGCCTAGGGACTAGCCTGATTCAGCGGATCGCATCAATGGCACCCTTTCGTTTAGTTCAAACATTTCGATAAGCTTAATCTTTACCTTAAACAGTAAAATTGCCCTTGTCTTCGAAACTGAAATGCTAAATTGAACTGCGAATGAAGAATCATTGCGGAGAGTCGGTACGCTTTTCATTTAGAGCCGCTTTGTGGTTTCGGCGGCCGGTGATTTTGTTTACGCAAAGTTTTCTGAGATCAATGTTATAATTCGACCTTCTTGCTATTTTTACCATCAAGTGTAATGATTCTGTTAGCTTTTCTTTCTTGTCTCCTTGTTTTTTTTCTTCGTTAAGGACCAAATAGCTTCTTTTCAATTAAAGCAAATCAGTGTGTTTTTGAACGAAGTGTTCCGTGTGTGTGTTTATTTCATTGCGTGATTGCGACCGAGTTTGATTATAGAAGTTAGTACAACCGTTCCAGAGTTGTAGTGCATGCAGCTGATAGTTTGAACGTTAAACATGAATTACGATCGAAAAAAGTGAAGCAGTTCTGTATCATGCGGACATTTCCAAACGATATTTCTCAGTTTGCCACTTGAAAATCGTGTTTTACTTTTTGCATGAATTAAAGCAAAGGTCAAGGAGTAGTGACGACACTGGACGGCATTAACGAGGCCCTGCCAGGGGGGGCTCCCATGTCGCTCGTCTGAATTTTAAAACGTCTCGTGTCGGCGTTTATTAATGCTTCACGTCGCTGTCGGAAATTGAACGAAAATTCTTTGTCTTTGTCGGAATTTTAGAAAAGGGGGATAGCGATGGGTTTTAAAGAAACCATTACAGTTGAGCAATTTCTCAGTTAACCTTTCGCGTATAGAACACCTATACATCGCCATTCACAATTAAGGGTGTGTTCCTTTCGGTGAATCCAGAAATGGATTTGGATCTTAAAACGGATTTCACGTTCCTTTCGGCAAATCCAAATTCGGATGATTCACATTGGATTTGAAATCCGAAGAATCCGAATCCAGATTAACGGATTAGTCATCTACGCTGTTCCATTCACAGTGGATTCGAAATTAGTCAGATGATCCAGCTGTACTTCCAGTTGAAGTATTCCCGTAGAGTTTCCTAATTGCTGCCATTTGCCGTAAAACATCTGAAAACACTAGAAGATTGTTCATGGTGGTACAGTAAAATGTCCATGTGCTGACCATTTGTCGCTAAAGATTGCTTAAAAACACAAATAAGTAAAAGGGACAAATAACTGCTATCTTTCTACAAACTCGCTCTTGGACGCGATAGGCACAAGATCGTGTTACATAGAAAACCGAGCTACGAAACTGGATCAAACTGAGCCGACAACCTTTAGATAATTTTCAACTTTAACATGCTACTTTCTTGATCTGTTTGTGTTCCATCGTCGTTATTCGAACTGCCGACCACAAAATTCTGCACGGTATAATCGCGTAATTTGTCAAACAGTAGAAAACATGTCATTTCTTGAGAGGCTCAGGCTGTCATGCATATTGCACGCGTTTGCGAAAGGTTACCAAGGTCACAAATCCAATTTCGGATTTCACGTTCCTTTCGACCGCGAAATCCGGCAAATCTCGGATCAGAAATCCGTTTTTGGATTCGCTTAAAGTAACACTGTCAGCACACCCTAAGTGATCCACGTTCAACATGTTAAGACTAACTGACCTGATAAATCGTACATGAAGGCCGGTTAACGGTGGTCCAAGCTGTGCGGTGTTTAAGTTACCTGGTCCCTGGTCTCTCCACCGTCGACAAGGATATGAGAAGTTCAGAAACAAGCAAAGTATTCACCATTTTCACATAGACCATAATTCACCTTGTTTACCCCCCAAAACTTTGCATAACCATTGTTTTCGATTTCTCTTGGGACGACTGTAATACCCTGGAGAATTTGGAAACATTGGTTATGCAAAATTCTGAGGGGGAAAACAAGGTGAGTCATGGCCTATATGAAAGTAGTGATTACAAGAGAAGTAAAGCGAGCGTAAATTAAGCTATCTGACGGACAACCTAGTCCCAAGGTCTCCCAGGAGTTGTGCGGGGTTGCGTAAATGAAGACTACGCGACGGGCCAACGCGACGCGCGCAGGAGGGTCTACTGAAACTCCCTGACGAGAGACAACCTCTGAAGCGCAGGGAAAATTGACGAAAATTACTTCTTCTAGGCATTCAGACTGGTGATAAATTAGCCAAACCACCGTTCTTTGTCGCATATTCTCGGCTTTGCCGTCACTGTCGCAATTTGGCAGCGGGAGGTTGTCGCTTGTCGCCATTTCATTTTAGGCTCTGTCGCTACTTTTTGGGTCATGTCGCTTGTCGGAATTTACCCTGGCAGGGCCTCATTAACGGCCGGTCGATTCAGACGTTACTGAGGGAGTAATAACGACTCGAAGTAATCGGATGAAATTCAGGCTACAATGACGCTCTCCTATGAGATTTTTTACAGGGAGCCAATAGGAGGAGGGTGCCACAAAAGGCAGTGGATGCGATGCAGTGACATGGTAGAAAGAGACTAACAAGAACTTAGCTACAATCACAGACAAAAGTAGTTGGGAAGGTTGTACAACTTAACAGTAGTCCATTTTAATCCTGAAAAAAGAGAGTTTTCTCTTTTGCTAAATATCCCCCGTCCCCCTTAGTCAATGTTGGGATATAACAGAACAATTACGCGTACAAACATTAACGTTTCGATCAACATTGGGCCAGGGCGGGGGGAGGAAGGAAAAGAAGAGGTAAAATGGGCAACCTTCCCAACACTTTTGACGATGATTGTAGGAGATTAGGAAATCAACTTTAAACGCTTATAAAACTTGTCGCATTTAACATTTGACTTAGATATCTCGCCCTGGAACTGTGCTGATAATGTACTTTCCAAACGATACAAAAAATATGATAAAGGTTATCTTTCGATAAAATCATGAATAGGAGAATTTTGCATCTGACGTGCGTGACATTTCACAGCGTGACCACAAAATCTATTGGGTGAGAACGCTTTCTTTTAGGAACGTCAGGAGAAAACATTTAAGGCGTTTAATTTCCTCATGAAGCAAGAGGACGTTTTCTTTGCGTGGACTATGTAGAAAGAATGGCCACAGATTGTCTGTTTCACTAGATTTAACGAAAAGTCATGAGGGTATCTAAGGGAAAGTTCATTTAATATGACAAGGGGGGGGGGATGAAGATATTGAGGGGGGGCTCCGAAAATTTTTAGACACCCGAAGGGGGGGCTCTGAAAAAATTGTTGCGCTAGGGGGGGGGCTCCGAAAATTTGTATACTTCAAAACCAACACATGACATCATCATACAGATTGGATGGTTTTCAATTCAACAATTCAACGACCTGTGCAACTCAGCTATATCTCGTGGTTTACAGATATAACAAATGTAGTCTCAGTAATTATTACACTCTCGTTCATCCCAAAAATGCTTTAGAAAATTGTATCACAACTGTATCTCAAGTTTGTCATAGTATAAACCATTGAAGACAATAACGGTAAATATATTTAATACAGTCTAGCGATCTTTTTTCAGGGGAGCAAAGGAATTGAAGAAGGAGGAGAGGGGGGGGTCTCTGAAAGTTTTTCGACTACCAAGGAGGGGGCTCCTAAAAAATTGAACCGCTAGCGAGGGGGGCTGCTAAAATTTCAAGCTTCCAGTTTCAATATCTTCATCCCCCCCCCCCTTGTCATATTAAATGAACGTTCCCTAAGCAAAAAATGCTATACGATTGCTGTCGTTGTCATGTATACATGTGTCTTTTTCATCAGCGGCATTATTCCTGGTTAACTTTTGCCGTTTGCTATTAGCGAAATATTTTGAAAAATGTTACAAATAGGAATGGCATAAAGGCTGCTATGAGAAAGTTTTTTCTTTTTTACTCCGGCAGTGTTAAACTATCCTCGAAAAACGCAACGTTTGTAGTTGTGAGGGAGGAGTGAGATAAGTGCCGAATTAAAATCTTGTAGACTGTATTTTCGTAAGGCCTGAAAGTAATACGGAACCTCTATAAAAGAGTGAATCAGTCATGTTCAGTGTTCATATAGAAATTGCTGTGCTAGCGTCGCCTGTCAATCATTCAGTTAATTTGAGAACAGTAAACAACATGGGTGTCCACATTACTCCATCACATTACTCCATAACAAAATGCAAAATATATGCACAATGAACTGACTTTCAAACAAGAAAAGGGCAAAAACATGTAAACCATGTAAGAATATGGACAGCTTTTGTCGCATTTATCTACGGGGATAAATTTAACAACTGTTTCCCAACATTACTCCATTTAAACAGTACCCCATAAAGGTCAATTAGCAAAGTTGGTTTAATTTTAATGCTACAATCGGCGACAAAATTGTTGAGACATTGTACTTAAATAGGGTGACTTCGGAGAACAAAAGAATCCGCACCCCTCCCCTGTCCCCTCCATTCAAAGTTGGGGTGTTTGTTGTTTTCTATAGGTAGCTAGAACAAGGGCCCAACATTGTACGGAGGGGATGGGGGAGGAAAGCTATATTTCCTCCTTTTGAAGTTCATAAACGTAAAAAAGCCTACTTTTGGGCGAAGTGTCTCAACTCATTTTGTCGCCGATTGTCTGAATCGAAATCTACGCGCTGTTGTCCTATTAGCACCGGTTAGGAGACGGTAACTAGTTGAGAATACTATATTCACCGGGTCGTTTTTCAGAAGATAGATAAGATACCCATATAATCCCTTTCTTGTGTTTTCCGAGGGAAAATTAGTTTTGACAATCTTTGTACTCGGTAGTGATTTCAAGTAATTACGCAGCATACCCACGTACCGAATGATTGATTTTCCTCTGGTAACTAAGTGTGATCGGTAGGAATCGATGGCAGATAATATATTGTATTTGAATATATCCCTAGTAAGTTCGAAGTGTTTATTCGAAGTTTGGCTATTTGACAAGGGTGGGATGGACGATAAAATAGCCATGATTGCTATGCGCAGGAGAATTTTCAGGAAAAATGTTCCAACTTCTAATGCACAGCAAAGCTGCATAGCTTCGCTAAATCTGTGCAGCAAATTCGTTGCCCATATACCCATGAGGGTCTTTGAAGAATGTACTTTACAGTAGAAACTATGAGGTCAGGAGGAGACTGTCCTCGAGTAACCACGAGTAACCAACTTTGTTCTTAAAAGATAATTAGATTATTTTGTCGTTAGCGCTACTATAAAGGAATTCTTTTCGGCTACCAAAATGGAGTAATGTGGTGTGTGATGACTTCGCATGTGTTACCCTTTTTAATTAGATTAACGAAGACAATAGACGCCTTATTCTAAATCAAGAGCGTACTTTTTCTCGTTTTCTGCAGCCAGTGTCGAAAAACAGTGCCACAAGGGCTTTAACTAGAGTTGTTCAGCCGGAGAAAGTGGCCTCTAGAATTAGGCAAATCTCCACTCAGTCTCATAGTTTGCTCGCGTGGCAAATGGGCATGTGCTGAATGTTGCAACGAATGAGGGAACTGCTAAGGAATATGTCAGCTGCAATGTCGCGATCCGAATGATTTTTGGGGGAACTGGTGAACGCACTATATCTTGCTTTAACATTTGGAGCATATCAGCCTATGCTATAGTCAATAGCTTTTACCGAAAATAACCTGACATTTGTATTTTGGCGCTTTTCCTTTGCCCCGGACAGAGCAATAGTTGTACTTAAAGGATTGCAAAACATGTCGAATATAAACAGGCGTGTGGGCCAAAAACTGTCTTAACAAGGTACGGCAAATATTTTTTTGCAACAGAGTACTGTTTACGAGTGTTTTCTGAAGACGTTTCTACTGACAAAAAGTCGTCCATTTTTGACCTTTTACGACCACACCCAGAATTTTCAGACAATCACAGACAAAAGTAGTTGGGAAGGTTGTACAACTTAACAGTAGTCCATTTTAATCTTGAAAAAAGAGAGTTTTCTCTTTTGCTAAATATCCCCCGTCCCCCTTATTCAATGTTGGGATATAACAGAACAATTACGCGTACAAACATTGACGTTTTGATCAACATTGGGCCAGGGGCGGGGGGAGGAAGGAAAAGAAGAGGTAAATGGGCAACCTTCTCAACACTTTTGACGATGATTGTAGCTAGTACATATTGTTTTGATGAGGCACTGAAGGGAGCCCAAAACAACTTGATTAAAGTGATTAAGTACCTTCAGAAACCCATAAGGGGTTGAAACGTGTAACTCGCGTTCAATGCTCGTGAATATTCACTTTTAGCATATTCGGAAACCTTAGTAACGGATATCCATTTTCAACAAATTGGCTGCTGCGCGATCACCATGCAGATGTTTTAAGACAAGAGTTCTACATTTCAAGGTTAAAAATGCACGGTTAAAAGACAAAAAATGGAAAGAGAAAGTTCAAAAGAATGCTCAGCTTTCTTTGTGTGGAGAAAGGGAAGCTTTTCATCAAGAAATCGTCCTTCGAGGAATTCAACCTTGTTTTCTTCACGGCGGAGCCCATGGTCTGTTTTGAAATGCAACCAAGTCAGCGAAGTTTTTGCTGAATTTTCAGGTACATTTTGCACTCTATGGCCAAGACAATTACGTTTTTGAAAGGGAATTTATGTATTTTTAAATGTTTCATAGACGTTTTAAGAAAAATTACAAAATGTGCCCTGATTTGAGATGGATTTTGTGTTGAATTTTGCCATGTGCTTATCCGATTTCACTTGCGTGAACGGATCCACGATCCAGATAGTGTTTTCCGAATTGCTTTAAAGGATTAACTTTTTGGACTTTGAAAAATAATTTTCAAGAAACGGCTTCTCTGTCTATTGTTTTGAGTTTGTTCAGTCATAAAATTAGCTCAACATACGATCGTGACTACAACATCCAAGTTTAATTTTAGCTTTTAAAATGCTTCTCACATTCATTACAAGCATCACTTTTTGTGAAGATGTCAGGTTCAGGTTTTCGACACTTTTCGATACGCAGCTAATGAATTTTCTTCGAAAATATTTTTCACTGTTTATTCTAGACTTTTAACATAAGAATTTTAAAAGCCTATTTGCAGTATAAGTTTACTGTGCAGATGGTCAACGAGGCATCGTTTTTTGAAGTGACAACTTCAAGAAGTTGCGAGGCCGTCAATGGGTTTCATGTTACGTTTGGCCCGGGTGGTAAGGCAATAATATCCTGCTCAGTGTTTCGGTAATATTCCTGGTTTCAACCTTTGAAAGCTTTCTCGGCTTTCGGGAGTTTTTCCCCCGTTTGTCGGCCATTTTTTTAAGCGGGCGCGGGAACCTGAAGGAAAATTACGTCACGTTGTTTACGAAGTTTGATTGGTCAGTTATCTCTTCTTCTCGTTCCAAATATGGTACTTTCGAAAATGAATAATCACGAGCATTGGACAAAGCAAACATATGAGAGTTACACGTTTCAACCCCTTATGAGTTTCTGGTACCTTACAACCCGTGGCTGTCGACACTACTTCCTCTGCTGCCATAAGATCACTGTCTTGTAGTGTATGATCTATGCCCTTGTCAGTACTGCTTGTTAGAGCCTGCTTGCTTTTCCCTTTTCCATTGGTCTTCTTCTCTTTCCTGTTCTCTGAACAATGTACTTCAGTAGACTGCAAGAAACCATTTGATAAACTGCCCAGATTAAAATTCAAGATACCCCAATCATATTATCATGTTTTGACTGTTTTGAAGGTCAAAATAAAATTCAGTTAAGAGTGGTTTCAACCTGCAGTTGAAGCTCCACATTAAGCAGCCACCTTGTATTAACCAATTCGCCCCTGATCTACCCGTAACTGCCTGTGCAGATTCATGTCCCTTTTACCGCTCGTGGCATCATCAGTTTTAATGGTCAAGGACAACTTTGTCAGCTAACTTGTGCAGAGTGAAGAGATGTTTCAAACCATCCCAGAATGAGCACAATTCAGTCAAGAACACCGGAGAAAAAGGCAAAAAACCATGTAACACTGACCTGGAAATTTCCATGAAAATCTTTCTCCACTACCTAAGAGTTAATTTTGCTTAGAATAGTCTACTCATGCACCTATGGTAGAAATATTAATCACCATCACCTTAGCTATAGTACATGTACCTTTCCTTTCATCTAATCTTAAAATCCTTAAAGCTTTCCCAAAAGCTTTTCCCACCAAAATGAAACTTACTAAATGCCCAGCAAAAGAAAAAAAATGAGGCAAGAAAAGCGAAAAAAGAGGGGAGGAAAGAAAGCAAAAAGTAACAGTCAAGACCTCTGTGTCACTTGTAAACCGAAAAACTATCTCGAAATTTTGCTGTCTGTGCATACCCGAACTTCACAAGCTAATATTTTGCATCCGGATCAAAAAGGCTGCAAAGTGCACGCCCTGTAAATGGCTTCATGGTAAGTTTTAGCTCTTTATAGAACAACAGTGACCAGAATACCCCTTGACTAGAACAGCTTCAAAACGCATTGTTCGAAAAAATTTCCAGGGACAAATGGGTTAGGTATCCTCGGGGACCCATAAAGAGCCGGGAGAAATGGCGCGAAGAAAGTTTTCAAGCACTTGCAGAAGAGCTTGAAAACTTTCGACCTGAAATAATTGCAGAAAAGACTATTAGCGGTCTCCGTCACCTCTATTAAACAGCCGGAGCCAACTTTTAGCAGCAATTAAGCACTGATACACTTTATTTAAAAATAATAAATAGATTTAGCCAGGGCTAAAAGCGAAGCTCCCATTAATAAATTTATAATTTAAACCAAACAATTAACTTGTAATCCACAAATCAGTTAACTTTAGGGCACATTCATGTGAGAGAAAAATAATTTGCAAACTGTCCAAGAGTGAAACAAATCTTACATCGAGTTAATAGCCCTATACACTGTATGTACACTCAAAAAAATAGCAATCATCTTCAATCACAGTCAAGAGCATAATGGCTCTAGATCACAGTAGATTAGGCCTGGAAAACAAATTCTTCTCAAACAAAATAACACAGTCGCCCACCCACACCACCTGTGTTTTATAAGGTTAATTGGACAGCACCAAAATATAATTTTATGCTATAAGGGCTGGTTAGAAGACATGATAGTCCTTAGTGGCAGCCAATTTACACGTAATTTATAGGTTGCATTAGGCAGGCCAAAATAAAAACTTAGGCCAAATTTTTTTATGTTCAACACGTTTACTTTACAAAATCTGGCCAACAAATCTGGTGGCGCGTAAAGCAGCCTTTTATACTTTTCAGTTATACATCACATCTGAGGTAAACAGTACATACTGTGAGGCGCTGTTTTTTTAATCATACAGACCTTGGAATGCAGAATGCAGTTTTTCACAATTTTGCAAGACAAATTGCATTCATTCAAAAACGTTCAAAAAATTTTCAAAATCACCTTTACAGCTAGCCGGTACTCACTTTTGACAAGTGCCAAATTTGCAGTGCGAACTGTCAGTGTTTGAAAGAACATTAATATATAGATTTAGCAAGGGCTAAAAGCGAAGCTCCCATTAATAAATTCATAATTTAAATCAAACAATAAACTTGTAATCCAGAGGCCACATTCATGTGACTTCTGAGGCAAAGGCTAGGTGATTTTAGAGAAAAATAATTTGACAGTCCCAGAGTGAAACAAATTTTACATCAAGTTAATAGTCTTATTTGTACACCCAAAAATAGCAATCATGTTCCATCACAGTAGATTAGGCCTGGAAAACAAATAGACCTATTCGTGTATTGTATTAAAGTCGCCTACCACCTTAACTTTATAGGTTTTATTCAGTCCCTCTAACAACTCCGTTTGAGAGACTATGGGTAAATGCAGGACAGCCCCCAAAATATAATTTATGCAACACACGATAGTCCTCGGTGGCAGCCAATTTACACGTTCCATTCCTCTGTCTGTCTGGTGTAAACCAGCCTTTTAAACATACTTTCTTTCATCATGTCTGAGGTAAACTTTGCTATGTCAGGCGCTGTTTTTTTTTTATCATACAGACCTCGGACAGAATTTGTTCTTTTTGCCCTATTTAAACCTATAATTCTGCAGGTTTTCACAATTTTGGAAGACAAATTGCACTCATTCAATATCCAGGACGATTGAAGCATGGGCTTCCTTTGCACAACAAATCATAGCATTGCATGACCACATTATAAAAAGTTTTCATGAAGAGAGAATGCCGGGACTTTTCAGTCAGAAAAAATCTTTTCAGTTAGAAAAATCTGCTTCTATGTGATATGCAGGGTAATGGGCTTTTAGTGAAAACGATAATATATAGATTTAGCCAGGGCTAAATGCGAAGCTCCCGTTAGTAAATTCATAATTTAAATCAAACCATAAACTTGTAATCCACAGATCAGGGCACATTCATCTGACTTAAATTTTGAGGCAACGGCTGAGTGATTTTAGAGAAAAATAATTTGACAGTCCGAGAGTGAAACAAATTTTACATCGAATTAATAGTCTTATTTGTACACCTAAAAATAGCAATCATGTTTGATCACAGTAGATTAGGCCTGGAAAACAAAAAGACCTATTCGTGCATTGTATTTGCATCATAATGTGGAAATTCCTGAAACAAAACGTTTTATTCCCAAGTGGTTTGAATTGGGTACAACATTGAGTTAACCGAATTGGTCTATCCCCACATAAAATAATCCAGTTGCCCATCACCTTAATTTTACAAGTTTAATTCAGAGTCTCTCCAACAACTCAGTTTGAGAGACTATGGATAATTAGACAGCTCCGAAATTAAATAAAATTTTATGAAACACATGATAGTCCTCGGTGGCAGCAAATTTACACATTCCATTCCTCTGTTTAAAAGGGAGGCCAAAATAAAAAATCAGGCCGGATTTTTTGTGTTCGACAAGTTTACTTTACAAGTAAATCTTGGCGACAAATCTGGTGGCGTGTAAACCAGCCTTTTAAACATACTTTTTTTCATCACGTCTGAGGTAAAAAGTACTATGAGGCGCTGTTTTTTTTTATCATACAGACCTCAGACAGAATTTGTTCTTTTTTTGCACGATTTAAACCTATAATTCGGCAGTTTTTCACAATTTTGTAAGACAAATTGCAAATTGTCAATATCTAGGACGATTGAAGCACGTGCTTCCTTTGCACAACAAATTATAGCACTGACCACATTATAAAACGTTTTCATGAAGAGATTTCCATAATGCTGCGACTTTTCAGTTACAAAAATCTGGTCTTATGTGATATGCACGGTAATAATTATGGGCTTTTAGTGAAAACGATAAAAAAATTTAACCATAGGTACGCCTCCAAAATTTTTTAGGACAGTCCTTTGCTTTGTACCTTTAGTTTACAATTGATATTTTTTCAGAACAGCCGTCTTACGGAGATTATTCGACATTAGATTCTCAAACAAACACTGTAATTTCTCGTCAAGAGATGGCGTCGAAAACCGTGACAAGGTCTATTGAGCGTAAAGTGTCTCTGAAAATCATGAATCAGGTAAGCATAAGCTTATTCATGTCTTAAGCCGGCTTCCGGGTGTTTGCTCTTTTTCAAGATGAACTCGAGGCAAGAAAATCGCTCAGAGCTTTCTTTTTACAGCCAAAATCATAACTAAATATTCTTTCATTGAATTTGTGGTCAAAAAATGTCTAAAGACTTTTTAAACCTCATAATATTGTAGGTTATTGACTACTCGAGTATAAACTTAAGCCACATAAACTACGCTCGACCTCAGGAAACCGAAAAAAAAAAAAACACATCAAAGACAATAATTGCTCAGGCTTACCAGTTGAGATGCTTCTCCTGAAGGTCATCAAGTCAGGCCAGAATCGCTTGAGACTTTTCAACCCTCTTTGTACGCGTCAAGCAAGGGCAAGTGAGTAAGCTCATTTTTCAAAACGATGCCATCCGAAATCGGATTTCCAATGACTTCGACAAGCGGTGCATTTCTGAACCAAAAGTGCAATAAGCAAACCAGCCATGAATTACACAGAACAATCTTGAAATGAAAACGGTGGTTTAAAAATGATCGATCTGGAAAGTATGATTAAATCTTTACGACTAACCTGGATGAAAAGGATCTTCCAGTGCAACAATGGTGCTTGGAGTTCAAGCTTTCTATGGTTTTCGTTGGAACCTTTTGGGGGCCTCTTTTTTTGTTTAATTTTATTATAATTATGACATTAAAGAGATACATATTCCCTCTAAATTCTATCCCGAAATACTTCAAAGGTGATCTGAGTTCGTAGTGTTTTCGATAGTAGAAGGGAATGTCAATATATTTTGTGGAATAACAAAGAGATACGTGTTGATAATAAGCCTGTTTTCTATAAAAAACTTTTTGAACAAGATGTCATTTTCATAAATGATCTTTTGTTTGACACCACAAATTCTTTTACTATTGTTTCGAATAAAATCAGCAAGATTAACTACCTAAATTGGGCAGGGCTTCGTCACTCTGTTCCAAAACATTTAAAGAATAGCAATTGTCTTTGCTCAGAAATAAGCTTAATATTGACAATTGATAACAAAGAATTTGAAATATAATTAAAAGAATAATTGCCCAATTGCCCAAAAAAATCCAAACACTTGTGTCAAGACTTCAATCTAACCCAAGACCAGCTGAAAACAGCATTCCTTCTTCCACATGAGGTAGCGTTTGAACCTTATCTAAAGCTTTTGAATACAAAGTCCTTAATTCCACATCTTTTTCGAATGTAGACACACCACGCAGTTTTGGAAGAAATTTCCATATTACTATTACACATTGACAAGATAATTCATCTGTCTGACCTTACAAGACATTATTACAGGAATATTATATACGAATTGCCCTTTACTGAATTATTTGACACTGATCGCTAAACTATACTTATGGGGTTGTAGAAGAAATCAGACTCTAAAATCCAGTCACAACTGCCTTTTCATCCAAGGTTAAAATTAAGTATGAAACAGAAAAGTACAAATGTGTTAAAACCAATAAAATAGACAAATTTAATAAAAAGTGGTTTCTGCCCTTGGACTCTGTACCCTAGTGTCGTCTGTACTTAGAACGTATTTTTCTTTTTTTTTGTATTAAGTTACTTTACCGTTAAAGTTCATAATGCAATGTAATGTAATGTATTTGTAATTCATTGTAATGTAATATCATGCAATGTCATGTAACGTTAGTATTGTAACGCTGTGCAGTGTAATATTTTAATAAAAGTTTGAAAAGTAAAAAAAAAAAACAAAAAGCTGTCAATCTAATCATACTCATGCGGATGGCTTACATAACTGAAAGGCTAGTCAAGTTGTGCAAGATCTATTGTGACATTTGACATCAGCTTACATGAGGTGTGTGTAAGGTTGGGCGTACGCTACGTCATAACCAAATTTTCTTGGATGGATAGTTACCAAATTTCGTTACCCATGGTGCACGCGCGAGAGCTCTGCTAAAAAATTCCCAAAATCATCTTTTTGGCCAGCCGGACGGGTTCTCTATTTTGACAAGCACCAAATTTGCAGTGCAATTAATAGAGTTACCATTTCTGCTTCAACATGATAGAGAATTTGTTATGTTTAGGTTTTATTTCCCTTTATTTATAAAAGTGTTTATGGTTTTGTCATGTGTAAATTATCTTTAAAAGCGAGTGATATTTACTCGCGGAGTTTTGAGTATTCCTGCATGCGATGTTTATGTACGACTGAAAACAACCGGTGCAGCGATAAAAATTGCGAGAGGGACTACTAACAATCAATAAAATAAATATAATTCAGTGCACCATGTACAGAGACAATAATTTTCATTCACGGAGACAAGTGCTGAGAGTAAACGTTCTCTGAAAATCATGAGTCAGGTAAGCATAAGCTTACATGTATTTTTGTTTTAAGCCGGCTTCCCAGTGTTTGCTCTTTTTCAAGATGAACTTGAGGCAAGAAAATCGCTCAGAGCTTTCTTTTTACAGCCAAAATCATAACTAACTATTCTTTGGAAAGTTTTCTTTGAATTGTCAAAAGCGATTGATTGCCTTCCCTGCATCTAAAAGCCGGTTGAATTTTCGCATCCGAGATCAGTTTGAAATCAAAATTTTAAAAGTGTCGCTCATGAACACGACTTATTTCATATGCATTTCAAAAAAATTTAATTTGAGCCTGCGATCATTTGAAAAGTAGCAACTTGTCAGCGTATAACTTCAAAAAAACACTCGAACTCACGGGGTCGATACCTGAGCCCGCGATACGGTCAGGCGGTACTGGTTAGCAGATACAATATTTTGACAGCTGTCAATTAATCAAAACATGTACGCTACGTCATAACCAAATTTTCTCGGATGGAAAGTTTACCAAATTTTGTTACCCATGGTTCTTCGCTGCGAAGAGCTCGCTATTAGAGTATTATGTTTATTTTTTTATTTAATGGTTTTATAACTGTGTGTAAATCTTTAAAAGTGCTTGATACGCGCGGCATTTTAAGTACTCCTGCAAGCGATGTTCATGTACGACTGAAAACAACCGACACTGCGATTGAAATTGCAAGAGAGACTACTAACAATCAACAATTTTCATTTAACAAAGAAAAGTATTAAAGTATTAAAAAGTATTCAAGAATCCTGAGTCTTTTAAAGTCTTTTATGTTTTAAGTCGGCTTCCCGTGGTGGCCACTTAATGGAGGTTCAGTTGTAGTTTGATTCTCAATTTCTATTATTTCCTTTCTCTACTAGCCGTAATTATTGAGAATTAACCTAGGTTAACCTGAATTTCATTTTGACATAAAAGTTAAAGCTGTTAGTTTACTTATTAATTTTCCCTTTCTTGCAGTGAGACACAGTGGGTCTGTGAGTAGAAAGAAACTCGTAGAGCAACAACTTAAGTTTTTTTTAGGCTGTTAGTGTACTCACCATTGAAACAGAAGTGAAAATTGCTTGGTTTATTTTTGCCCAAGCAGGTTCTGAAGTGTTATCACTAATGTGCCGTATTGACGAATAATGTTCACCATTGTGATAGGAAATATGAAGCTCACGGATTTGCCCTCCATTTTTGCAGTAATCACCACCATTAATCACCCATCGAGGTTCATTAAGCTGATGTATGACAATGTTCACCCCATGATTTCTTGCAAAAGCCACAATGCTATCATTTCCCCCATATGTTCCAAGCTTAGATAAATCTTGTACTGGCAAGAAAAAAATAACACAAGAATAATTAAATAGCTGTTGCCTAATTAAATCAATAATAATAATAATAATAATAATAAATTTATCTGAAGACTGCGTTCTTTTTAAAATGGCTTTCTACTTCGGCAGAGCACAAAGTAAAGGATTCGCGACACTCAGGAATTTCCCAAAGTCTGTGAGTTTTTGGTTAGAGTGGGCCATTTGACAAAGTGAGAGCAGAATTAGTTCAATTTATCTTGAGATCACTGCAATTTCTTTGATTTATTATTCGAGGAAAACGAAACCATTATTATTTTTGGCTTCCCCGGGGTTTGAACCTACTCACCCACCAGCCGTCAGATCAGATGAGACTCTAAGTTAAGGGATTAGCCGAGTGCGTCACTGCGGCCCAAGGTAGTTTGTATTGTGAAAAATAGCTGTAAATTATGCACTAGGTTGGGCATGCAAAGTCCGTGAGTTTTCAGTCAGAGTGGGCTATTTGACAAAGTGAGAACGGAACTAGTTCGATTTATCCCGAGATCACTTTGATTTCTTTGATTTATTATTCGAGAAAGAAGACGAAGAAACAATTATTATTATTTTGGCTTCTCCGGGGTTTGAACTGGACGCACCTGCCAGCTGTCAGATCAGATGAGACTCTAAGTTAAGGATTAGCCGATTGCGCCACTGCGGCCCAAGGTAGTTTTTACTGTGAAAAACAGCTATAAATTATGCACTAGTTTCGGGCAATTAAGATTGGACACACAAGTTTTGTGACTTTTCGGCTTGTTACGGCTATTTCATGATGTAAGACCGGAATTCCTTCAAGATATCTCGAAATCACTTCGATTTCTTTCAGCTCCTTATTCGAGGAATAAAAATTAATAATTTATGTATTTGTTTTGGCTTACGACTCACCAGCGACACGTCAGACGCTATGTTGAGGGATTAGCCGATTGCTCCACCACGACCTAACGTGGTTTGTCATAAGAAAATTAGCTATAATATTGTGCACTTGTGGGTTTCGCGCGGGAAATGGAGGAAAAGAGACAAAAATAATCAGTTGGTTCAAATAAAATGATTGAAATGATAAAATGGATAAAGAGGAGCAACCAGTAAAAATTATTCGGTTGGCCGCTATCTATCGTTTTATTAATTTATCCAATGGTCACAATGGCTATGACTTTGGTTCGCTTGCTTCGAAGCAAAAAAGTCAAAGACTGATCATTTGTCTTCTGAAGGTATCAAGGAAAGGTTTTGAACCTTTTTACTTCGGCGGAGCGTGAAGTAACAGGGCCGGCTGAGCACTTTTCCAAGTGGAGGGGGAGGGGGGGGCTGCTCCACCTCTTCAATTGAAGGGAGGAGGCAGACTCTAGAACAGCAAGATTGTATTCTATAGCATGTAAATATCACTGTAAATGTAACAAGAAATTAAACTGAGAGATTCTAAAAATGACATATTAGAATCCTACTGTCATATTACATATATAGAGGATAATATGTAGATTTAGCCAGGGCTAAAAGCGAAGCTCCTGTTAACTCGAATTTATGACTTAAATCAAACAATAAACTTGCAATTGTATTTTACAAATCAGTTAACTTTAGAGCACATTCATGTGACTTTCGAGGGAAAGGCTAAGTGATTTTAGAGAAAAATAATTTGCAAGCAGTCCAAGCTAAGAGTGAACTTAATCTTACATCGAGTACCTTATGTACACCCAAAAAATAGCAATCATCTTCGATCACGTTCAAGAGCCATAATGGCTCTTGATCACAGTAGATTAGGCCTGGAAAACAAATTAGGCCCAATTTTGCGTTCGACAAGTTTAGAATTTATTTTACAAAATCTTGCTAACAAGTCTGGGGACTTGTAAACCAACCTTTCATACTTTTTATACATCATCTGAGGTGAAACAGTACCATGAGGCACTGTTTTTATCATACAGACCTCGGACAGATCACAATTTTGCAATACAAATCGTACTCATTCAACATTCAGGTCGATCGAAGCACGCGTGGGCTTTTACCGAAACCGTTAAGAAAATTTCTAAAATCACCTATACGGCTTGCCGTTTCTCACTTTTGACAAGCGCCAAAGTCGACTGTTTAAATCAAGATTAATAGAGTTATACGTTTTAACGTGATAAAAAATTTATAATGTTTACTTCTTTATTTAACGGTTTTATAACTATGTGTAATCTTCAAAAGCGTTTGATACACGCGACATTTTGACTACTCCTGCAAGCGATGTTCGTGAGCGACTGAAAACAAACGGCACAGCGATTAAAATTGCAAAAGAGACTACTAACAATCAATAAAAGGATAATAATTAGGTGAAACATATACAGAGACAACAATTTTCATTCACGAAGACAAGTAAAAAGTGTCTCTGAAAATCCTTGTTTATGTTTTAAGCCGGCTTCCCGGCGTTTGCTTTTTTCAAAGATGAACTCGAGGCAAGAAAATCGCTCAAAGCTTTCTTTTACAGCCAGAATTATAACTAAATAATTCTTTGGAACGTTTTTTTTCTATTTGCAGTGAGAAAATGTCTAAAGGCTTTTTAAAGTTCTATAAGCTTATAATCAAACCTGATACTCGGTCAGATCGATCATTGTCTCAAATCTTACAAACGTGCATAAACTAAATAGCCGCATAAACTACGCCCGACTTCATTAAATTAGATATAAAAAACAAACATCAAATACAATAATTACTCAGGCTTACCATTCGAGATGCTCTGAAAACTATGTGTGCAATATCAGTCTTCCTGTGCTACCAAACTAGCTAGAAAGTGTGAGATTGAACATTGGTTTTCCTGTGGTGCGGACAGACGGGCGGGCGGGCTGCGGGCGGTGTACGGTCACTTGATTACCACATTTTCTCCGATGGGTAGATTTACTTACCCATGATGCTCCGCAGGCGCGCTTCGCGCGCCAGAGCTCCGCTATTACATGGCCGTGCGGAGATATACAAAATTTCTCTTCGAGCGTTGAAAAATATTTCACGATTGCATGAGCGCAGCGAATGAGTGAAATATTTTTTTCAACATGCGAAGAGAAATTTCGTATCTCCAAGCGACCATGTAATGTTCTACTCATTATATAAACACCAATGAAATGCCAAACCATTTTACTGAAATAGTTTTTTGGTCTGAAAGGTGCGGTTTATTATGAAGCCATAGCAATGGTGATATTTTCACATGTCAAGATAAGATGTTATTTTCACATGTGAAGATATCAAGTTTTCGTGCAAAAGCTCACTTGGTATTTCATTGGTGTTTATATAATAAAGCAACTTACTTGTATTTGGCCATGCACTATGTATCTAGTGCATATGGAACATCTCCATAAAATGACCATTTAAAAGTTCTACAGTAACCAAGGGAAACAACTTCCAGAATTTTGGTGACTGACACTTATCAAAGGTTTGGTTAATACAGGTTTGACAGTAGGTAATATCTCACCTGAAAGAGTGGGTTTTCCACTCTTGGAAAAATAATTTGAAATTAATTCTCATTGCCCGTTTTTATGTTAGCAGTCTGTGACAATCCTTCAGATTCCTTTTTCATATTACCAAGGATCATATGCGCCTCTTTGTTGGTTATGATCACAGGATTGTATGGGCAGGATGTCCAGCGCTATACCTAATTCTTCGTTTAAAATATTTCTGACCATAAAACGTTACAATGCAAAACCTTTTTCTCCCCCAAAAACCCATGACACAACGGGTGCTCAACTTGATAATCAAGCGATTTTGTTCACCTTTTCCACGTCGAGCATAAATCAAAACTGACACAATAACGAATGAACCGAGAATTATGAAACAGAAGTTTACATGTCATTTCTGCAAATTTTAGTTTCAACAACAGAACTGAAGTCTACAACTAAGTGCAGGTTTTGTAAAGATAATTATTTGAAGACTTGTTCCATTGGATGTAAGATCGAAACCGACCAAAAAATTTGGATACTTCTCGCAAGGTCCGCCAGCCGATTATCATTGTCCCAGCATTTAAACGCCTATTACCTTATTTTATACTTATTTTCACAGAATGTGGGAGGGGGGGGGCTGTCCCCCCAGCCCCTCCCCCTGCGCTGGCCCTGTGTAAAGGATTTGCAATGCTGAGGGATGTTTCAAAGTTGCATCTGAATGTCCCGAAGTTGCGTCAGAATTAGTTCGAGCTATCTTGGACATCTTTGATGTAATGCATCAGTCAATTCCACCTGCGCCCAGCCCCCGGGCTGACCCCCTTGCAACTCCAAGGGATTTATGTTTAATTACTCTTTCTAAGGGTGTATTATTGATTTTGACTGTGAAGTCACTATTTATTTGGGATAACTTAAATTGGCTCCCTGTAAGCATGTATTTAGTCTTCTTAACATTCAAAGTTAATTTGTTTGCTGACAGCCATGACTGGATTAAATTCATATCATAATTCATTTTATGTTCAAGGACACGTGGGTCTTCTGCAGATGTGGTAAGGGTAGTATCATCTGCATACATTCTGGGTTTTCAAAACAAATTACATGAAGGGAGATCATTAATGTAAATAGTGAATAAGAGAGGGCCTAAAATAGACCCCTGTGGAATACCACATGTTATATTACAGACATCAGATTGAACTCCATTAATGAATGTTTGTTGCTTTCGGTCAGATAGATAGGACTGGAACCAGTTAAGAGATTGAGAACTGACCCCATAGAGTTAAAGCCTTCCCAGAAGGATAGCATGATCCACATGATATCACACCATTTAAGAGACTGTTGTCAATATTCCATAGCCATTCATTCGTAGCCTCAAGTAAAGCTGTTTCAGTGGAAAACATAGGTCTGAAGCCAGATTGTGATTCAGTTAACAAGTTATTACTTAAATATTCATATAATTGATTAAAAACAACTCTTTCAATTAATTTACTTACTACAGGCAGAACTGAGATAGGTCTGTAGTTGTTAGGATCAGTCCTGAGGTCTTCTTTAAATATTGGCGAAATTCTAGCTTGTTTCCAAGCATTTGGAAATTTTTCCAGTGGTAATTGACTGATTTATTATAAAAGTTAGACTGCGAGTAACTATGGGAGACGCTTCTTTCAGGAGACGTGCTGAGATGTTATCAAGACCACTGGCTTTATTACTCGGTATTTTCTGAATTAAATTGAAGACCTCGTGGCATGATACTTTTGCCAAATTAAAAATGTGTTCTGCGGGGGTAATATAATCAGTAAAATTACTGGATGTATCTTTAATTTCAGAGGCTAAGGAAGGTCCTATTTTGGAGAAATGTGTGTTGAGTATATTACTGATTTCGATGGGGTCAGTATTTACAGTATCCCCAGTCTCCAGCTGAGTTATCTTATTAAATTTAGGTTTATTGCCAATTAGTCTATTAATTCCTTTCCAAGTATTCTTTATGTTTCTGCGGTTATCTTTGAAGAAGGCATTGTAATAGTTCATTTTAGCATTCTTAATTTCATAATTAACCTTATTCTTCATGTGTTTGTAAGAAGTCCAATTGCCATCTGTTGGGAACCTTGAGGCTAATTTTTTGAGTTTGACTCTCTGAAACATTAGCCTTTTTAGCTCTGGAGTAAT